TGTTTACATACATGTTTCTACCTCATTTTTTATGCTTTTTTGAAATTTTAAATTTATTTCTTAGGTTATAGTGTGCGTAGAATTTAATGGTGCAATCCAAATTACATAAAAATCAATGGTTCATTGTTAATACTGAAATTAGACACATTTTTTCACATAAATTTCTACAGCTTAATTTTCATTCTTTTTCAACATTTTGAATTTTTTTCCTACACTTCAAGACATGTATAAAATGATGGTAACAGCCATTTTACATAAAAATAAAAGTTTGTTATTGAATATTGAGTTGGACAGGTTTTTTTTTATGTTTTTTAAATTGATTTTTACCAGCTTAATTGTGATCATTTTTTGAAATTTTAAATTTATTTCCTACATTTAAAAATGTGTAGAACTTAATGGTGAATTCCAATTTGCCTGAAAATAAAAGCTTCAATCTTAATACATGAGTGTACCCCATTTCTTGCGTAATTTTTACTGTATACAGATTTTATTTGAATGCAAAATGAATACAGCCATCAAATCCAAAACCTTTCAAAGTGTAGGAAATGAACTTGAAATTCCATAAAATAAGGATAATTAAGTGTGTAAGAATTAATTAAAGAAACATGTCAAATGCAGTATTCAAGATATAGTTTTCATTTTGATGCAAATTCTTTTTTACTATAATTTTGAACATGTTTGAAAGTGTAGGAAAAGAATTCAAAATGTCAAAAAATAATGAAAATTAAGCTGTTAAAAATCAATTGAAAAATATGACTCATTATAGTATTCAGTATGAACCGCTGAGTTTTATGGGAATGGAATGTTACCATTAAATTCTAAACACTTTTAAATGTAGGAAACAACTTTAAAATTTCAAAAAAGCATAAAAAATAAGGTAAAAAAATTAATGCAAACAATCAAGTGAAAAAGTGGAGAATTAAATAAAAAAAACATGTCATATGCAGTATTCAAGATATAGTTTTCATTTTGATCCAAAATGAGTCTTACCATCATTTTAACCATGTCTTAAAGTGTAGGAAAAAAATTTAAAATGTCAAAAAAGAATGAAAATTAACCTGTAGAAATTTAAGTGAAAAAATGTGTCTAATTTCAGTATTAAAAATGAACCGTTGAGTTTTGAAAAATTTGGATTAAACTATTAAATTCTACACACATTGAAACCTAGGAAATAAATTTGAAATTTCAAAAAAGCATAAAAAATGAGGTAGAAACATGTATGTAAACAATTAATTGAAAAAATGAGTGGAAAAAAAATTAATAATCAAAAGTCATTTTTATGAAAAATGGTTTTTACCATTAAATTCTACACGCTTTAAAACATAGGAAACAATTTTAAAAATTCAAAAAAACTCGAAAAATAAGCCGTAATAAATTAAATAAAAAACCGCGTCAAAACGCGGAAACCGCGTGTGCTGCGGCGCATCAAAACCGCGTCAAAACGCGGAAAAACCGCGTTTTTTTATTAATGCCCTAGATTAAATACAGTATTTTCTATGTCCCCATGACTTCATCATGCATTGTTATAGCCAATTAAATCATGTGCCTACTTGTAATAGAATAATACTGATGGAAATTACCACACACTTCACTAAGGTGGTAATTTCTACAAGTTGAATTATAGTTTTCACTTGTAGTTGTAACAGCGATGGGCAGATACGTTACCCAAATGGATAACGTTGACTGTAACGTAACCTTTACAGTTACGTTAACCACAAGTTACAGATATCTTTATTTCAGTTACGATATCTACTGGAGCAAAAGGCCCCTTTTTTTTCTAGTTACGTTCCCAGAAATTCTGAACAAAACAGGGTTACGTTACAGAATTTCCAATATTTGGATAACTTAAGGGTAACTTTGCTGGAGATGCACTGATTCTTGATGGTTTTGTTCATTAGGAGCGAGGTAATTCGCACAATATGATCATAAACCAATCAGTGATTATCATTTCACCAACAAGCCAGGTCAAAAGATGTCTGGTGTGAGAATTGAACCCACAACCTCCACATATTCAATGCGCATGTGAGGCACTCTTTGACCATTAAGCTATATGCAATATGTTTTTGCATTTCAAACTCTCATAACACCCTCCACCCAAGTAAGTTACGTTACCCCAAAAAAATATATGGAAAAAATAAAATTGGTTACTTTACTTTACTTTACAACCAAATTTAGTTACTTTACAAAAACAACAGATTTGGATAACTAAAAAAAAGTTACGTTCTCCAAATCCCCTGCTGTAACGTACCGTAACGTATCTGCCCACCGCTGGTTGTAAATATGTATTTAATATTTATTTTTTATCTTTATTTTATTCTATATTTTTATTCCTACTAACCTTCTAAGGCTCTTGAGTTATGACAAACTCCTAGAAGGAGTAGGATTTTGGGGGTGGTTCCAGTGAGCAACCCTATCTAGAATATTATGAAAAGTTAATTTCTTAAATAGTATTCTAGGTTTTCTTATTATTATTACAAGTAATTTATTATTGGGCAATCTTTTGGATACTCTTGAGGATCTCTAAGGCTGACACTATTATTGGTTGCTTGGATCACAGTACTCACTAATTTTCCATCATTTCTATGTACTGCACTAACAGCTAAGGACAAAAGGATTGGCCTTGAATGCTTGTTTTGACACAATTGATTGCCCTTTTCCTATGATTATGATCCACAATAAATCAGCTTATGTATTTCCCATGGAAATTAAATTTGGATGGGGTACTGTCAGCAAGAATTAAACCCATTTTTTATTTTGATTATTCCCCCAGGGTGTAAGCCAGTTTTGAAATTCTTGGTAGCAATGATGAAACTGATCCAATCCCCAATAAATTGTTATTGTTTGGTATTTTAAAGCAATAATAATTGCTAAGAAGCAGCAGGCAAGCACTTGATCTGATTTGCTAATTGTCAGAGGTGGTAGTATTGCAACCTCAGCAACCTGCTGAGGGGCACCCAGGTGACTGAAACAAAAGAAGCTACAGGGGACTCACAAAGGGACTTGACTGTGAATGTATATATGATATTCAGTGAGGAGAGAAGAGAGAGAGTGAGAAAGAAACTGGTAGAGAGTAATAGTGAGTAGCTTGTTAGAAGCATATCTGGGTATAAGCATACAACTACTACATACTGGGATCACTATCCCAACACAACCAATAGAATCCTCTCAGCTGCTGAGATTTTAAACCTCTTGGCTGCTGGGAGTTTACACCTCTCAGAAACCAGGGGAATCCTCCCAGTTGCTGAGAGTGTACAGCTCTCAGCCACTGGAGGAATTTGTACACCTCTCAGCAAGCGGAGTAATTCTCCTGGTTGCTGAGAGTGTGCAGCTCTCAGTGAATGTACAGCTCTCACCATCTGAAGGAATCCTCTTGGTCCCTGAGAGTGCAACTATCATTCAAAATTAACTTTTGATTTTCATGAAAATTGAATATTGCCATAAAATTGTACACATTTCAAAATGTAGGAAATAAATTTAAAATTTGGAAAAATCATAAACAAATTGGGGATTAATAAACACACACCCCTTTTCTGCTATCCACACCTGGTTTCTCACACCCAATTTTCTGCTTACAAACCTGGTTTTTCCCAGATTTTTTGATTCATTTTTTTGGGATTGTAAATATGCTAAAAATAATCTAAAATTTAGCATTCTTTTTTAGGCATGTTAAAAATTCCCAGAGTATTTCAATTTTTATTTATTGTTCTCCCTACGGGTTTTTGAAAACTTGAAGTATAGGTATAGCTAAAACCCATTATTAATTTCCAAGTTTTACATTTTTTTCTCCATATAGATGGTATCATAGAGATTGTTTGTTGGTACCTGTTGCTAGGTACCCAGTACCCCTTGGCGGGTACCATTGGTACCCGCTGCACACCTGCCGCGCCCCCGCCAGGAGGTGCCAGGTGTCTGTTTTTGGGAAAAAACAGGCTATACCCAGGTACCGCTACAGGTAACACCCCACTTCTCCGACATAGGGTGGGGGGGGGCTGAATATTTTACAATGAATATGAAAAGAGTGGCTATAGTGAAACTAAGTGAGAAAGGGAGGGAAATTATTGCTGGTACCCGCCAAAAGTACTGGTGGTAGTAGGTACCTGCCAGGCAGTGCTGGGTTCAGTACTTGGTCCCTATTTTTTTAAAAAATTGAACAGGTACCCAAGTACAAACAAAAAATCTCGATGGTATCATTCAAGATACTCCTTTTTTTATCCCTTTGCTTATTTCTTAAAACTGAAAAAATTAAATTTGGTTCTTTATAAATTTCCCACAAATTGGGCAATATCAATGATGAATTCAGATATACTTTGAAGTTTCAAAAACTTATAAAAACTTATTAAAATTTCCCTTGTGGGGATTTTTTACATACTCAAAAAGAATGGTCCATTTTAGATGATTTTTACTATATTTAAAATCCCTAAGAAAATCAATTAAAAATTGCTGGGAAAAACCGGGTCTAAAAGCAGAAAAGTGGGTGTAAAAAAACCAAGTGTAAACAGCAAAAAGGGGGGTAAATACAATTACACATCCCCCAAAAATAGGGTATAGAAAATTAATACAAAAAAACGCGTCCAAACGCAGAAACCATGTGTGCTGAGCACAGCAAAAGCCACATCTAAACGGGGAAAACCTGCATTTTTATTATTAAAACCCCAAAAAAATTGTTAAACAGGCTTTAGAAGAGGAAAATAGGTTGTGAAAAATTGGGTGTAAAAAGAAGAAAAGGGGGAGCTATTTTTCTATTCCCCTAAATAGAAGATTAAAAAAATAAAATGATGATAGAGTTTGTTGAGAAATTGCTGGTGTTATAGATCTAGAAATGAGGTGATAAAACAGCAATCAAGAGTCTTTATCTAGCTAAGATTAGAACTATGCAAAAGCTTGAGGGTTTACTGGGGAAGATTGGAGAGCCAGAATTTGATCATTTGTTCAAGAAAGACGTGTGTTAAGAATTACAGATCCAGGTGTCCCAAAAACTTCATAGTATCCATCTTCTACAACTAATCCATGGGTACGATCATCTGGGCTATCATTCCAATACTTGCGCCCTTCATAAGTTGGGAGATCACCTTTGCGCTCAGGGGCTGTGTATTTCAAAACACTAAATTTATTTTTATTTAATCTTGAAAATGCAGAAAAAATAACACTATGAGTGCCAGTATTGTCAATCTTTCCATATTCAATTTCCCCCAAGATAATGCTCTCAGGATAGAATCCTTTATATACAAGCTCTTTCATTCTATAGTGTGCAAACTGAAATGGGTTTGATATGATGTATTTCTCAACTTCTTCTTTGATGAGTGGATACTTCTCTTGATCTTGATATTTAAGGTGTGCAAGTGCTCTGTACATGTTGTGTTCATCTTTTGCTAAAAAATTCTTAGTTTGAAGGAATTGAAGGTCATGATATTCCATAGGAGCCAGATGATGTTTTGGTATTTCTGCATACTTCTCTTGAACTTGGTATTGTAGTGCTCTATACACCTCTTCATTTGGAGGTTTGTTTGCTTGAGGATGAAGTGTTTTGAGAATTTTAGATCCAGTTGGTCCATAAACCTCATAGTGACCATCTTCTACAACTAATCCAACAAAACCATCGTGCAGATAATTGCTCCGAAAGTGGAACCCTTCGTACTTTGGGGATTCTCCTTTGTGCTTGGGGGCTGTGTTTGTTATAACACTGAATTTACGTTCCTTTAATTTTGAAAACGCAGAAAATATTACACCGCGAGTACCATGTTCATTCATCTTTCCATATTCAAGGCCCCCCACGGAAATCCTATGCGGATAAACTGCTTCATTATCAGACTCTGTCATTTGATATTTTGTGAATTCCACTGGGTTTGTTTTGATGTATTCCTCAATTTCATCTTTCACAAGTTCATACTTCTCTTGATCTTGATATTGTAAGTGTGCAAGTGCTCTATACACGTTGTGTTCATCATTGACTATAAAGTTTTCAGTTCGGAATAATTGGATGTCCTTGTAATCTAGAAGAGCTAGATGGTGTTTTGGTATTTCCGTATACTTCTCTTGATCTTGGTGTGAAAGTTCTCTATACATGTTGTGCTCATTGTTTGCTTGAGATTCTTTGTCTTGAATGACTTGAATTCGTTCCACAGGAGCCGGATGGTGTTCTGGTATCTCCACTGGGCCCACCTCTTTCATTGGAGTCTGATGATCTTTTGGGATTTCCGCTTTCGCTACGTTTTCCACTTTTTCGGCGCTTGTTTCTTCATGTGGAGGCAAAGGGAACAACACAGAAAATGTTTTCAGCAATTTTTACTATGGGGGTGGGAGGAAGAAGTGAAATGATTCTGAATTTTGACCGTAAAACAAAGATCAGTCTTGGGAACTAACGTGCTGTATTCCCTGACTTTTTAGACCGAATTCTCAGTACATCGAAAATCCAATCCATTAGTTTTTTAAATGCTTTTTTGAACCGCCCCCAGTAGCTTTTGGTCTTTGGTGTTTGCTCGGTGGCTGGAGAAGGATGTCCTTGGAACTTGTTTTTGTCTCCCGGCAAGATTACTTCATCTTTTCCCGGCCTCCAATTAATGAGTGAAACGTCTGATCTCCCTCTTTGTTATTGAAGTGACTGCGCGTCCCTCAACTTTAGCATACTCATTGCCTGCGGAAACGTTGTGATAGTCAAAGTTTGTAACCTAGATGAAACCTAATTGTCATTAGTTAAAATCCAACCGCTTGTCACTCAGTTGTATTTTCTTCATTCATCAAGGTCTCATTCTTCTCATCACTTCCTCAGGTGTGCTTTCGTGTCATTTCTATCTCCTCTCCGGTGGTTCTCTTTGTTAACCACATCGTCGTGGATCTATAAAGGTGTGATTGTCTTGTTGCTCAAAAGTAATGCATTCATCAAGGTCTCATTCTTCTCATCACTTCCTCAGGTGTGCTTTCGTGTCATTTCTATCTCCTCTCCGGTGGTTCTCTTTGTTAACCACATCGTCGTGGATCTATAAAGGTGTGCTTTCGTGTCATTTCTATCTCCTCTCCGGTGGTTCTCTTTGTTAACCACATCGTCGTGGATCTATAAAGATCCCTTCAGAACTAGTTGTTCTATATTTGTGCTACTGAAAGCGCCTGTTCCTCATGTTGACTGTCTGCGACAGCTCGACTTGCAGAATTTGCAACGTTGGCAATTTGCCCCACGTCACCTAGAACTAACCCAAGCATGAGGGATGTGAGGGATGATAGCAATAAGAATTTGAGAGGTAAAGAGTAGGAGGTGGTGGTCCAAGAATGATATAAAGAATCATGAGAATTGGCTTTTCGAGCTAACATCTTAATTTACCAAGGATTATATTCCCAAGTAGCACACGGTTTTAATCAATTTTGCTGATGAGCACTATCGGTGAGTGGGATAAAATGGGGTTGTTTTTTCAACAAAAAAATAAAAGGATTGTAAATAGTTGGTTGACTCTGGGTATTCGCTTCCTGGACGCTACTCCAGATTATAGGTGGAAGGATGGATATGCAATCAGATAAATAAAACTGAAATAACGGTGTGGGGCAGATAAGAATTAGCTTGAGCGGAATCAACCCATATTATCTTCACGCAACAAGTTGAACACTTCTGCTTCAAAATCGGCCCAAAAAATGTCCGGCCATGGCAGTGCAAATCTGACCGACTCTGATGTGTTAGCGGGTGGCAGTATCATGATTGAGTATGGTTGTTACAGGATGAAGCGAAGGTGAGACAAGCTTTTGCAATGAATCAGAGGGAGGGCCTTGTGAATCATTCGGAGAATCACGGGGGCGAGGGCCGCCCTACATTTGTCGACTTGGATCCTTGGTTGAGGGTTTTTGATGCGACAAAGCATCGTGGCTTGGCAATCACTAATCCGCTCTATGACGACTCTGCTACAATGACTCGACAAAACTTTCCACTTGAATGATGAGTCATTAATCTGTAAATCCCACAAAAGAATGGGCAAGGTACATGTTTAGATTTACTATCACAGTGGCTCCGGCTGAACACGTGACATGCACCCTGCTCGGTGTGATCTGGTATGATCAAAACAAATTTCCTTACAATCTGGGCGAAGCAGATGTATGGTTGCCCACAGAGCTTCGATGTCACACCCTGATTGGCAACTCCAGGGCTCTAGTCTCTGGTTAACCGCAGAGTATCACGCCTGTGGGTCTCATTGACTGAGGTACCCTCAGTCGTGCCTACAAATTCGGGCACTCACCATCCCCAAGTATGTAGAGTGAACAAGAAACAAAATGATAACAAAAAAACACGGAGACAACTGAAGAAGAGGCGATGTCGATAAAAAGTGCGCCTGCGCAAAAGTCAGGAAGACTTGTCGCTTGTTTGCCTGAAGCTTTTAAGATGCTAACATTTTGTCTGGATGAGTCATTTCGATCACATTTAAAATATTTAATACTACACATAATTCTTGACAAGGGGATTCTTCTACAAAGTTATGCACCTCCGCCGCCGGCACCGTCCGTCATCGATTTCAAGCCCCCCATTCCGCCACCAGGCGAGCCTCCGCCGGCTCCACCCATCATTGATTTCAAACCTCCACCGCCGCCCTTGGAAGGCATACCGCCACCGGGAGAACCTCCACCGGCTCCACCCATCATTGATTTCAAGCCTCCACCACCACCGCCGCCAGGCATTCCACCGCCGCCCATGGAAGGCATACCTCCGCCGGCTCCGCCCATCATTGATTTTAAGCCTCCGCCGCCACCTCCAGGCATTCCGCCCCCGCCCATGGAAGGCATGCCGCCTCCACCCATCTTAGACATCATTTTGCGTCTCTTGAGGCCACCGCTAAATCCATCCAGCTTCTTATCTACATTCCCTTCGCTTGAATGATTCTTGTCGCCCGATTTAGTATTGACACCGCCGCCGCTTAGGCTGGCATTTGTTTTTCCTACCTTGTGGTTTTCATCTCCGGAGCTCGAGCCCGGATGACTATCGTGTTTCTTCATGGACTTATCTTCTTTGGGAGAAATTGGGTGATTTTCGATCGCTGGGAAATCTGAGCGCTTCCAGAGAAAGTTTCGGGGTGAATAAACTTCTCGTTTGACGAGTCCTTCGGCTCCAGCTGGCTTTTTGTCGTCTTCGCTCTGGCTTGGATTCTTGCCAGGACTAACAGCCCCGGTGGCTGCCTTGGGTTTCGAGCTCTCCGGCCCACTCGGCTTGGTGGCCTGTTGTAACTTCTGATTTGAAGTGTTTGTTGGTTTTGAAGGGGTTTGGCCTGGTTGCTTGGCACCAGGCAGTACGGGAGCTTGATTGGTTTTCGGGGCGGTGTTAGCCCCATTGGTTTTATTGCCCGCGTTTATTCCCAACTGTGGAGGAGCCTTCGAAGGTGCCCTGATAAAACACGAGAACCATAAGCAGGATGGTTAGCAAAATAATAGCATTTTCCGGATTCAAAAACGCTTCTGGGTTGGGTGCTACAGCTTCTCGAAGAATAAACTTACTCGTTGAGTTTCAAAGCACCAGTGGTAACTTGAGCTTGGGTATCCATGCAAGCGTATATGCAGATGACGATTGTCACAAGTTGTACGAGTCTGAAAGAAACCATGTTGGAAGTGATAGGATTTTTTGGTCCGGAGAGTCGATGATTTCGTCGATTTTTACTGAAACTATAATCTGTTCACAAGTTAAAGAAAAGCTAGAATTCAAGATTGAAGATTGATCAAAGCCCAGCTGAAGAGGTGATGTTTTTCCTCGGATGTTTACTCTAACACGGAAAGATAATGAATAACTGATATAGAAAACTGAAGTGTAAAAAAGAATAATGAAAGCGCAGCTTTATACACACAAGACTAGGAAGATATTTAGAAAACGAAAAGGGGCGATGTCTGAAAGACTTATTTCTATAAACAGTTGAGCGAAAATATTTTACAAGTGGGGTGGGATATGGAAACAATACATCATCTGCGTTCCCGAAAGCTTCTTAAATATGTTGACTTGAACGATTTCTTTAGGGGCTTGTTGACGTTGAAGATTCTTGAGACTCGGGACACTTCATGATGTACACCTTCGTCGCAAACATGGCCTTAGCAAGATATGCGTCAATCAAGGACAACAGTTGGAGCCGAGCGCGAGATGACATCCTGTTGTGACCTCCATGCCGCGACCTTTAAAGGGGTAACACTCCTTGGTAAAGAGTCTCAGAGCAGTATCGGTATATTCGATTGAAGAAAGTGCCTCGCTCGTTAGCGACTCTCCATGGTAAGCCCTGCCCTCTGGTACGTGAACTGGGGTTCATCATTTCCTCATCTATGCGGTAAGTCACATATAAGGTAGTCACGGTCAGTGGGATGGACGAGGATTGGTAAAGTACACAATCCGGCAAACTTCACACAAGCTGGTCCCTTCAAGTTCAATACGGGTGAGCGGCCTCACTTTGCAACTGTCGCAATACAACGCCGACCGCCGACCGTAGGGAGACCCCTCGGGGCTGCCCTTCGCCCGAGATGCTTCATTTGCCTCGGCGGTCCGCTTTCATCAGTGGTGCGGGTGCGGTGATTATCATCACAGTCGCTCTACTACTCTAGCCTCGAGTGACATCACAATCTTCTGGGGTTGCCAGTTGCGCTACCACTCTCACAAAAACGAGAAGGCAATTATTTTTGATTTTCTTTCTTTTGTCGTCGTACATTACTCGTATTCTACTAGTGCACATAGAGAAAGATAATATAGCTAATTCAAAATGGATAGATCTACCAAAATATTCTAAATGATGAAGTGATGTAGACGAATAGAGGCACAAAATACAACAGGTGACAAAATAAACAATCCTGCAAGTATGTATAAGGAGACATTGATCGTGCTTTCGCCTGACATCTTTCCAAAAACAAAGCTAAAAAAACAAATATCATAACGTACAGAAAATACACCCAAAACAAATTATATAATAAAGCAAATATGATAAGGACTGGAAAACAGTAAGCTACATATTACGGGATGCGCATTTGCTTGGCTGTGTATGGACTTGAGAAAAGGAAAGCGGAAAAGAGTTGGATCAATGACAGAATTTGTTGAATTCATGTTTGACTTGATGGATAAGATGATCTTTAACCATACTGATATCGAATTTAATTCGATTAAAGATATCTTGAGCTTTATGTTTAGGAACCTGTAATAGAACGCATTGTTTTTGTTGGAAAAAAGTTCAAGTTACGTTAAAAAAAGAGTAAAAAAGGGTTTGAAGAGAGAGAAAGAGGATGCTCAACTATAAACAGATCGTCTTTGACCATCCAATATATCATTCCAGTGGGCAAGAGGACATCCATTTGATGTTCTTTTTGGATCTTCGATTCTAATAGATTCTTCATCTCGATCAACTAATGAACAGATATCCAAGAAAAAGGATAAAAAACGAATCAACACATGTTTTCCATATTGGAAGAATTCTTGATTTGAAGGAATAACGAAATAAAGGAAGAGATTAAATCGACTTACCCAAACCTCATCTTCCAACAAGGCTTGTTTAGAAGCATCCAATCTTTGATGATCATCCTGATTTTGATTTTGAGTGTTTTGGTTATTTTGAGATTGAAAGATCCTCAATCTAGTATAAACCTGCAACAAGTTTTTCCAAATCCCGTCCGAATTTTTATGAGTAGACACTAAAGACGGAAGCAGGGCGGGATTATTCTCGAAATAATCGATCCAGATGATCATGGTTTTCAAGTTCATGACATGGTCCATCGATAATCTTGGGATGAAATCGTTCGAATGGATTAGTGTTTTGATCATCTTTCGACTCAGTTCTGTTAATCCTTTCGAGCTCGTACATCTACAAAAAAACAGCAACCCTCATTAGATCAAGAAAAATTTGACATTTCCACAAAATGTTACTCACGGTGGACAAATCGCATAAGTCCTAATAGATGTACCTTCAGGCAACCCACTTCGTCTCGTACTAAGTCCAGTTCTAGGACTAATATACCAACATGAAACCAAAAAATTGTCATCAGATATTAATGATGTAGATTCCAAGTAAAAGGTGACTAAAATTTCCATAGAGATTATTAGGAATAGCAAGTTCAAGAAGAAAAAATGAACTCAACTCAGCCAGCATCAAGCTCAACAAGACAGCGACTCCAGCACCCAAAGAGTGCCCGACAAACTCGATTCTTTTGTTCTTCTTTTGCTGCCTCTGAATACCATCGTTCAACGGGACATTTTCATCCGAGTCTAACTTTTCTAAAGCGTTACGAAGGGAAGCCATAAACTTGGTCGGTTGTGGTTGCTGTTGTTGGGCGGATGGTGGTGGACTGTTGTTTGGGAAGCCGATGAGTTTTTTCGAGACTTCGTAGAATCCTTGGTGTACTTTGAAGTTCTGGTTCTTCTTCTCATTTGTCGAATCTTCTTCTTCTTCTGTTGCTGTTGTTTTAACCAAAACAAAACAAAACCAATATTCAGATCCATGAGGATAACGGATTTGATCGCAAACAGAAAGTTAAGGAAACCCATACCTGAATCGTTTTGAGTATCAACAACCGATCCAGGAAAGTCGTCCCAAAACAAGAGAGGATCGAAGGTTTGGAGATCGCAAGTAAGGTCAGTCGAGAGATCGTTCAAGGAGAACGTGCCTCTGAGACAAACGATAACGGAACGATGGACTCTATCGACCAGGATGAAGTATCGAGGGGGTTGACAATCAGGGGATGTGGCTGCTGTCGAGGACGGATGATTCTCTTTTTCTTCTGCTGTGGAGTTTTCTGGGAGAGAAGAGTCAAGGGAAGCCGGTAGAACGTCTCCACTGGCCAACTCGAACACTCCATCTTCCCTCATCGTTTTCTCCTGATCCAACCCACTGAGGTTTGGTCTCGATTCTTTTCCCCCTTCCTGCGCCTCGGTTACAACACTAAGAGAACCGATCTGGTTCATCAATTCATTCATCTCCTTCTTGTTTTTCACCTCATCTTGTCCCTTTCTGAGTTCCATGGGTAATAGATCTTTCAACTCTTCTGCGATCTTTTTATCCGCTTCATTCAATGCTTCTGGTACATCTTTATCCTCAAATAATTCACCATGTCGTCTGATTAAATCTTCATCACTTTTTTAATATTTGATTGGTCAATCAAGTTCAAAGTAATCAATTTATTGTAAAATAGCGCGGAAAAGAAGTTTTTGTTTGTCAGTTTTTGTTTTGTTCAGACATCCCGTAGAAGGTCGCATCCAAAAAGATACGTACTGCTTTCCTAACAAAAGGTTCCACGTTTCGTACGTAGATGGAGGAGCTTGATGAGTGGATGAAATTCAGAAAGAACGAGATGAAGAATATTCATTGACTATAAGGGCTTGAAGAAGTAGATCTAATTTAATGTTCACAGGATGAATTAAGAAGACATACCTTTTCCCGGCTCAGATGACGATGAAGAAGGCTTAGGATCAGATCCGTTTGGTGAGGGGGATGGTTTGCTTTCAGAACTGAAGAGGAGATGACCTAATCCGCCGTAACTACTAAGACAAAGGTCGATATATCTTTTGAATTTTTGTTTGACGACTTCTGGATGGCCTTCCTGACCATCATCATCATCTTCTTCGAATCCGAGTTCGAATTGCTCATTTTTTTGATCGCCTGATGGAGAGTTTTGAATAGGAATCAGAAACGAAGAGAAGAGGCGATCTTCGACATGTTGAGTGAGTTGTTGGATTAAAGCCCAAGTTGAGAGCGCTCGGAGGACTTGAAAGAACTGGAAGGGTTGGGTGGAGTTATCATAGCCAGGGGGGAGATCGGAAGCATGAGGAGATATTTTGAGCCACTGTTGACGGAGGAGGACGACGATAAGTTTGAGGGCGTCGAGGGAAGGTAAAGAGGGATTGAGTGTTTGATAAGATCTGATGAGAGCATCGAGCTCGGTGACCGAATAAGCGGCAAGATCCAAGCCGGTAGAAGAGATCCCTTGGGCGAGTTGCAAGGCGGTGAGGGTGGAGTACTCGGCGAAGCTCAAGCTGGCTTGGATGGCGATGGAGAGCGGTTTGAGCTGGCTGGGTAGCACGTTGGAGATGATCGTCTGTGGGATCGCGAGCCCAAATTGGACGGATTTTTGGGCGACGGTGAAGCCGAATCGAGTGGCGAAGGAGGCAATCGCTAGTGCTCCATGTGCCGCCGGGACAATCATGGATGTGCCACCACAAGACAACGGTTTGCCCATCACATCTGCGGATTGCTCTGCTACTTGTTGGTCTGGTTCTGGCTCGCCTATCGGGAGATATCCCGGCATGGTCGATGGACTGTCAAGATCGTTCATGATGTACTCGATGGTACTATCTGGTCATCTAATGTTCGGCCAGCAAAGTGAAAGCATGTAATCAGCCTTCATCGCTCGATCAAGAGTCTTCAATCTCAAGAGAAAGGGAAAAGTACTTACCGGTCTACAGTGTGGTGAACTTGGCCACTGCGAAGTTTGAAGTTTGGGGTTGGTTGGCCTCCGATATTGACGTCATCATTCCAGCCCCGACACCCACCCGACACCCGCGCCGACCCGTCCGCCATCAGCTCACCGGGGCACCATCAAGATGCTCACAGTAACAAATCCATCAAGTCTCACCCAAGGGGCCAAGACTAACTGATCAGACCCACTTCCAATTGCCCTTTTCTTATTATAACCTAAAAGGGAAAAGGCTTTGAGGTTTATTACAATTTATAAGTTATGTTGACCACTGATCAAGCTGCATCAATGTTACAGATTACATAACTTCAACACATTAATACCCACACCAAACATAAAAGCAAATCAACTGAAACTAAACAAAGTTTTTTTTTTTTTGGTTTTGTTCCAAGAGGCTTTGGACCTTGGTTATTTTTCAAGATAAAACAGCAATAAGCTGATTGGGACGATCCAATAGTGTCTACAATCCAGATTCCGGGCTGACAAAAATTCTGCTGTCTCTTTGGGAAAAGTTGAAAGGCTATTATTTTCCTCACTTTTTTTTCACTGCGTGTTCCACCTTAAATACAACACTTGCAAAGATGTGATGTGGGATGCAAGAACAGTTATGACCCAGACACGCCGGCTATGTTAATGCCGTGTATTCAGTTGTATGTACTTTAGTTGCAGAATAAGTACAAGGAGAAGGCCTTCAGACTTCAGAGTCCGGCTCCTCACGTGGGAGCGAAGACGACATTGATCACTCTGTTTTTCAGAGCAGTACCGAAACTTGCGCAGCCGCGATTAAGGGTGTGTTCAAGTCATGTTAGGCTATCGGATCTTGTAATTTGCCGCTCAAAGCTGTTGGCGTTTTGCTTTACAAGCTCTGATCAGCAAAATCCCAGAGACCTGTTGATCGCTCTAACCTCTTGATATTATTCACCAATCTGCCTAAGTGAAAATTTCTTTGAACCAACTGCACTGTTTTGTAATTATGGTAGTTTTTTCGTAGGGTCAAGTTCTTGACGAAGACAATTGTTTATCCTTTCAGTACGTCCCGTTGTGTCTTATAAGTCCGGGTTGATTTTCAATATACGTGGGACTTGATTCTTTTCTCTACACCCCGCCAGATCACACATTGATCCAGTGCCTCTTGATCCTTATTGACAGAGATTCCATCTACATACATTGCACTGTTTGATCTATAAAATATCTTCACCTGAACATAGTCAACATTTGTATTGAGAAGAAAAAACAGAAACATGAATTCAATCGTTCGATCAATGGTCATAACCATACTAATTACCAGAGCTTGGGGAGTGAAAGTTGTAAGGAGTAAAGGTCTCTTTTATTCCTGACACTTAACCTCACCAAGACACACATCTCACTGAACCCCACGAGGTCATCTTTGAAACTCCAGCTCAAGATGTAATCTGCAAGCCTCAACCTCAAGAGACGGTTCCTGCAAAGAACCAAATCAACATTGAAAAGGTGTAGAGCAACTTCGATTTTCCACTCTGGGTTCACCATGGTGGTCCCGATGAGCCCGCCACGGAATTCAAGCCGTATGGGCAGGGCGAGTTACGATGGATTCCGGACAATCGGTTTCTGCTAGCCACTTTTGATGGCAAGGTGCTCTTAAACCAAGAGGTGTACGACTTCCTGGTACGCCCATTGCTCACCGCGGTAAACGCAGACAGGAAGCCCCCAGACTACCCATATGGCCCATCGTGGCAAGACATTTTTCGCCACTCTTACCACCTAATTGGTGGGCCAAGCGAGCCAAAATCTCGAATCGACGGGCCAGGCTATACCATGTTCCGAGTGGATCATGAACTGAATATCAATAATTGGCATGCCGATAGATTTCACCTTGGCCGCCCATACCCCCAGGACGATGTACACGTTAGAGAGATCACAAACGAATCAGGATTCCAAGCTTTGTACGTCATCCAAACCGGAACGCCTGAGATAAACCCAACCAATATAGTCTTGCAACCACAAGAATCAACCAAAGCGCGTTTTGACCCATCGTTTGCTTGGGTGGTGGTCTCTAGAGAACCAATCAATGAAGAAACATACAACCACATCATACGATTGCCACTAACTCAAGCTCGAGAAAAGGCAGGGGCTGGTGACTCAAGTCAGAGATTCTCTTATTATCACACGGAATCCCCTGAAAAATCTAAGGCAATATTGAAGGGCCTTCAAGAGGGTGATCCCTCAGCCACTCAGGAAGTTGATAACACAAACAGAAATGGCTTTCACATAATTGAGCCAATGGAAAATTCTGAACCTTGAGACATCCAAAACCTCTTCAGAATCAGAACCCTCAAACAATCTTGGAAGCAGACAACACACACCTCATGGATATGTATGTAGTGTACCTGATCAGGGTACTGTGCAGGATGGATAATTGAAGGGGGCATGAAGACAAAGATTCAAAAAGAATCAAATCTTCAACCATGTAGTATATTTTTTTTTCCTTTCTTGTATCTTAGTGCTCACATTTTATAAATCAGCAAAAAAAAAACATCAAGACCAGAGTCTGATTCTGATGATCTTCTTGTCTCCAGGGACTACATGAAAGATTCCATATATTTCAAATCTTGGCAATATCAGAGACTGTTGGGATTTTATCAACATTATGCTTGATATGATCTTTCTGATTTTGTTCTTCTATACTGATTAGAAGAGTTCATTCAACTTGTGACTTAACCTTGGAAATTCTTTGTAACCTTGTTATGTGTGACCTACAGTAATACACATACAGATTTATAATCTTTCTCTGTACAGTTGAAAATAAAATTTACAATTTATCAGTTTATTTTAAGCCTGCATAACTCAGGATTTGGAAAAGGTGTGCACGATCCCAAACCATTGACCTTGTTGAAGTGGGGTTGAGGGTACAAAAATATATACTCAGAGGACCCACGTAATCGTTTTGGTCAAAAGATGTCCTTCTGTAGCCAATATGATGTCCTTCTGTAGCCAATATGTAGGTAAGTTTGTAACCCACATGTTGTGTGGTCTTGGACTGATCCCAAAGTGGAATGCTGTGCCACGCAACCGCTTTTTTACAGCAGATCAGAAGGCTAGATTGTGCTCGATCATTTGTTGGATGAATTTTCAAATTAACTAAACCTGGGGCTAGCCTGCCAGGGTAACGTCAGTTTAGCGGACGTGAGCCACAGAAACGGGCTGAAATCTAGCTTGCCCAGCCTCTCCGTCGAACGCACGAAGTGCGGGAGAGGCTTGTGCCAAAAACGAACACGCCCGCGTGTCGCTTTCCAGTTTTGAGAGTGTTTTTTGTGCGAAAAATTCTAATAAATTGCTTTCTTAACTTTAATAGAGGAAAAATCTGGCACAATGTATCCCAGATGCCAAAGTAAATTTTCATCAAGGAATTACCCAGAAACATGTACAACTACATTCTAGGGAAACTTTGTAAAGGTCCAAGAATCCGCTCAAATTTGTGTTTTTTGCTTATGTAATAGCTTCTCAAGGCTCGGAGCTCAACTTTAATTCTGATTTATTTCAATATTTCATATTTTTCAAAAATATCTTACTTGTCAGGTTTTCATACAAAATCTCTAAAAATTGGATGAGGAGAACCGCAACATGGTCAACTTTGACCATGCTGACTCTGCCCTCAAACAACCCCAAAGTACATGCATGGTGGGCAATCCAAAATTCCCTACACCAAAACATGTTGATAGCGACACGCGAGCTTGTGCGTATTTGTCACAAGTCCCTCCTTCGGAGGCTCGCTTCGCGAGTGGCGCCAGCCAGCCCAGGTCACCAGGCCCGCAGAAGCTTGGGACTTGGTACAAGTTAGGGCTGAAATCGACTTTCAGGTTGACCTGCGCTTAGCCCGGGGTCAATGCGAGTGGGTCAAGTTGTAGGTTGCGATAATTAATTAGGCAACTTACTTAAAACCCGACAAATGCGAATGCTCTTGTTTTCTGCAGAGCAGTGACAGTCTTGCCATATCTCTAGTTGCACATATACTTAAATAAGTAGCGTGTAATCATCAACCCTTATTTGAAACGCCCTTGAGTTCATCAATCTGAAAAAAAAAACATTGTAGAACAAGAGATCATCAAAGAGATGAGAGAATGGGCATCAGGTTTGTTGTTGATGATGGATGCCAAGACGATGATGTGTATCTCAGTTTCTGCGACTCCAAAAAGCTATCACCCCCTCTTTTGCCTCTCCTAAGTTCTTAAAAAAGAAATGCACACAAAAAAAGACCGAGTAAACACCCACACAAACATGACAATTCTTTCATAAAGCTTGACTCATGACGAGAAAGAAATGAAAAGTTTGAACATTCATGCTCTAAAAAAAGTTTCACTTTTTATTATTTTCTCTCTTGAATGAAGAAAAGGAACATGATTGAGGGACTGAGGAGACAAAAAAAAACATTGATAATAACAATCGTGAAGTGGTTCTTAGAAGAAAATGAAAGAGGAGAAGAGATGACAGGATGAGGGGGGTCGTTCCGGTCTCATAATTGTGAATTCTAGGAATGCATTATAACGTTCTGACCAACCAAGACCTTACACAACAGTCATCGATCAGCTTAGAAACATTTACGATGGACGATCGAGGGACCACTCTGCATAAATTTAAAAAGAAGAAACCCGATTTTGTTAGTTAAACCTCATTTTGGCGAAAGATGAGTGAAAATTAACTGACCTCATCGTACTCTTGCTTCGAAATCCACATCTGTTGGAAGGTGGATAGAGAAGCCAAGATAGAACCACCGATCCATACGGAGCTGAAAAAAACATAGTCGGAAGAGAGTAGATTAATTCAACTGACAATCGGATGAAAGACGGGAGGGTGGTTTTGACTGACTATTTCCTCTCTGGTGGGGCAACGATCTTGACCTTCATGCTGCTAGGAGCAAGGGCGGTAATCTCCTTTTGCATTCGGTCAGAGATACCAGAATACATGGTCGTTCCACCCGACATGACCACGTTACCGTAGAGGTCCTTTCTGATATCAAGGTCACACTTCATGATCGAGTTGTAGGTAGTTTCATGGATACCAGAAGCTTCCAAACCAAGTAGAGAAGGTTGGAACAAGGCTTCTGGGCAACGGAAACTGTTGAACAGCACAAGGGATTAGTCTTGTCAACTAACGTGTCAAGACGGGAATCAGATGTGTCAGAAAGAATTACTAACCGTTCGTTACCGATCGTAATCACTTGACCATCAGGCAATTCGTAGCTCTTCTCGAGAGCCGAGGATTGACTGGCGGTTTGCATTTCTTGTTCAAAGTCTAAACCGACATAGCAGAGCTTTTCCTTGATGTCCCGAACGATTTCCCTTTCGGCGGTGGTGGTAAAGCTGTAACCTCGTTCCATTAAGATCTTGATCAAGTAGTCCGTCAAGTCACGACCGGCAAGATCAAGTCTCAAGATCGCATGGGGCAAGGCGTAACCTTCGTAGATCGGGACAGTGTGTGTGACACCATCTCCGGAGTCCAAGACGATACCAGTGGTACGACCGGAGGCGTACAAGGAGAGCACTGCCTGGATGGCGACGTAGAAGGCAGGGGCGTTGAAGGTTTCAAACATGATTTGAGTCACTGGAAATAGTCAAGTACGTCAGAAGATCTATCGGCTTGGATTGGCTTTCAGGTCAGCTTTGCGAGACAAGTGAAAAACTCAACTCTTTTCTCGGTTCACTTTAGGATTGAGGGGGGCTTCAGTCAATAGGACTGGGTGTTCCTCAGGAGCGACTCGGAGCTCGTTGTAGAAGGTGTGATGCCAGATCTTTTCCATGTCATCCCAGTTCGTGACAATCCCGTGTTCGATAGGATACTTCAAAGTCAAGATACCTCTTTTGGATTGAGCTTCGTCGCCCACGTAGGAATCCTGTAATGTTAGAAGAGTCGATAAATCATCTGTTTCCCGAGTCACTAGGCTCATGAAAATCCAGAGTTGCTTACTTTTTGGCCCATTCCGACCATCACACCCTGGTGACGGGGACGACCGCAGATCGAAGGAAAGACGGCACGGGGGGCGTCATCACCGGCGCTTCGGAGATGAAAATGAGCGAAGATCAGTCCAAGAGCCCGTCGGTCTAATCGAGTAAGATCGACTTACAAACCGGCTTTGCACATACCCGAACCATTGTCGAGAACCAAGGCGGCAACCTCCTCTGTAAATCCAGTCGAAGAAACAAAAGAAGGATCAAGATTATAAGTTCCAAAATCGACTTCCACAAATGTATGAATCAAGATGGTAAGATGGTTAGGAGATATCAAGGGAGACACAGGATCTGATTTTACACTGGTTTCCGGGAAACAGAAAGACCAATCGACTTGATCGGATCATCAGAGCTTGGATGGAACATAGACCACACCAGAGGTAAACAAGAGTCACTGTAAAGATGATCATATATATAAATCACTTCAATCGATCGATCGGCTTCAAGGAATTCAAAGAGCTGCGATGAGATATGATCGCGATTCCAAGTATCATCAATGAAGGCAGATGATATAGAGCGGGTGAGAGGAGCGGAAGAAAGGCAAAGAAGAAGGAGCTTGAGGGAGTAGGATGTCGAATGGTAAGAAGGGGATATGTAGGAGGATGACGTACCTTCCATGTTGAGTATTGATTAGGTGTTGATAGGACTAAAGAAGAAGAAGAGAAGATACAATGTTATATCAGATGGTTGAGGTGGTGGTGGAGATGGTCAACAGGGAGAAGCAGGCCGCCTGGGAAGGTTAAGAAAGAGCTGATGTCGAGGCGCTGCTGTGTTTTGTTTAGTTTTTTCTCTTCTTCTTTTTTCCTGTTTTTGCTGCTGAAAGTGCTGATGATCGGGTCAGTAACTGACCGGCGGCAGGGTGTACAGGGAAGGAAGGGAGACCCGAAAGAAGGGCTAAGGATGATGACGTCAGCATAGAATCATCCCGTCATGGGGGGTTAAAATATTCGAGTCGGGCAGAAAGTACGATTCATGTTCCAGAGTCATCAACCATCATCGACTTCGATCAAATCAACCGATCGCGACTCAATCACGCCCGGTCGATCATCATCAACAATATCTATTTAAAGACTTTTGATCATCATAAATCAAGGTTGATCTGAATCCTGATCAAATTGACTCTTTAATTATTATGAATGAATAGATACAACTTGAAGGGTATTTTTCGAGCTGTTTCACAACCAAAATGCCAACATAAGCCCAGTTTACAATGTCACTTTTATAGATTCATAGACCTTCCAATATATATGGAGACCTGCATTTTATCATCTTGTGGGCCAGAAAACCCATCTTGATCAATAAAACAAAATTGTGAATGAACAGGTAAAATCTAATACTAATAGGACGGTTCACATGTGAATAAAATCTTGTTAATTTTGGATAAAATTCCTGCTTGCTGGTTTCAAAATTTTTTGAAAATTGGCAGACGTGCTGGCCAACTTTATGCATGCAAACTCAAAGCGCTCTGCTGGTTTCACATGAAAATTTTGCTGAAATATTTCAAATGTGAACCGTCCTAATGTAAGCTGATTGATTTCCTTCTTAAGATTTTTGTTGAAAATAAGGCTGAGAGGCCAAAAAAATAATTTTATACTCTTGCTGAGAGGGCTCATTTTCTCACAGACAAGACTGAAGGAGGGCTCAAGTGCTCCTTTAGGAACAATTTCAGAAGAGTAAAGAATCAATATTTTTCTAATTGTTTCTTCATATCTAGGGTTATAAAAGGTCTAGATACAAAATGCTCAAGATGTGGGAGCATAAATTGATGCATATTGAATAAGAAATAAAGAATGATACCAGAGAAAAGTGAGTTAGATGTGACAAAAGAAGAAACAAAAAAAGAGGGAGAAATTGATGAGCAAAATTTCAACAATCTTGATCATACAGCTATTCCAAGAATGCTTGTCCAACTCGGCCTCATTTTTTTTACTGAACTGGGCCTGTCACAACTGAACTGTTGAAGACAGCTGTACGTCCTTGGCCAGTAGCTCAGTTGCGACAGGCCCAATTCAGTAAAAATAAAAAAATAAAAATTTGAGGCAAGTTGGACAAGCTTTTTTGGAATAGCTGTATAATGTTTGATCCTGAAAAAACCTGCTAATAGTTCATATAAATGTTCATAGATTATTTTGAAATGAATTGAACCATGGGAATTGGACATCCAAAATACATGGGGGCAATCACCCAAACCAAAATTTTAGTACTGTTAGAGTTATAATCTTCAAACATTGAAAGGTTTGGTTGCTGATTTGGAATATCAAAACCTGGTGGAGACCTTGTACCCAGAAGTACCTGCCAATTTCATTCTGGTTCTTGAATCCACAGTGTGGTGGTCAGCCCATAGTTGGATGGTGAATTTGGGGAGAGGGAGTGGCTGAGAAAAGTGGTTGATGCAAGCATAATGCTCAACATCAGATTGTTGTCAAATTGGAATGCACAAGTTGGCAAGGAGTGAGATTAATCCAGCTCATATCTGAACTGGGAGGTAGTTGTTAACACATTTATGAATAAAATTGGGAATACTTTGTGAAACCTCATGAATCATTGTTTTTGGACCAATTGGGATTTCACTTCCAGTGAAAAACATAAATCAGGAAATCATGTGCAGCTTTGGAAGCTTGTTTTGTTATCTCACAATTTTTTCCACTGCTGTAGCCACCTGGGGTACAGTGGCGCGCGACATTGTACTGTACAAGGCCACCCACAAATGTTGATCAGGTTGCGCGGGGTTAAACCTCACCCCTGACGGGGGTCCGTCACCTGTAAAGAATAAATTTTTGGAGTCTACAAGGTGTGTAGATTCCAAATCTAAATTGGCAACCAATTTGGTCCAGCCAAACAAAAAAAACTCTGTTTTTCACCAGACCATTTGTTCACAGGCCAAATATGGGGGACTAAGTACATAAATATGTGATGGGCTGACACCATAAACCCATACTTATCTGGCTATATTTCCATAAACCCATACTTATATGGCTATATGTCAGCCTAAGCTCATACACATAAGCTTAAAGCCAATTTATATGCACAAAAGTGCATCAGCTGGCTCAATTACAGCAGTGTGGATGTCAGATTGATGTCTCAACCCCCCAGAAATTAACAAAGAAACTCAAATTTTTTCAAATTTTGGGTCCCAAACATTTGGACATCCCAAAATCCTCTGTAGTACAATGCCGCGCGCAACTGTAAATTTCAGCATATCATCTACAAATTATGATGACTGACTCAACTCAAAAATCAAAATTGTTTAAAATTGGTTGTAATTTGTTTAGTCACAATTTGTGCAGGTGTAAAGAAAAAAAACTGAGGTGAAAACAATAAGTTGAAAACCCTTGATGTGACCAATAGATAAAATCATTTTGATTCATAAAATTTCTGCTTGCTGATTTCAAGAAAATTAATTGACAGACACAAGGGCCAATTATAAGCATGCAAACTCAAATTGTTTGGCTGGTTTTGCATGAAAAATTTGTTGAAATTTTCCAAATTTGAACTGTCCTAGTGTGATGATTTTAGGGCAGAAGGGCACCTTGAATGTTTCTGGGATGTCCTCAACAAATTCACCAAGGTGGAAATGAGATATCAGAAGACTGTTTTGGCAGGTCCCACACTGCCAGCATCATTTTTTGGCTGGGTTGTTTTGAAAAGGGATGTCCATCTAACTGGGTTGCATCCAACCAATCTTATCATGGTTGAGTGCAACCCATTTTGAGTGGCATTCATACAACTCATCAAATTGTACTGCCATAATTGGCTAAATATCATTTGAGGGCCCATACCAACAGTGGACTGATACACTAAACAACTCTCTAGCTGCAGAGTAGCAGCCCTGAAAAACACCTTGTGATGCTGTAGAATTAGCGGGCTTGCTACACTCACACTACACTGTGTTACACCACTCTTTGCAGAAAACCCTGCTAAAAAGGGGTGTAATTCTGCATAACTTACCACTTGGCTGCCAGCAATAGTGTTATACCGCTAACATCTTACAAAGAAAATCATATGGTGGCATTATTTTGTTGCACTACACTTTACTGAGGCTAAATTCAGCATACCTTACCCACTGTTACCTGTACCATTTGGCATGAAAATCCATTTTTCACATCATCAAAAGTAATGAGCACCATAATTAAATGAATTTCCCTGTTCTTTGAAAATCTAGGGCTACCCCGGTCTTGTTCTCCAAAATTCAGGAATAGGGATGTTTTTTTTTGTTGAAATTTTCCCTCTCTTCCTCTCTCTGCACTTTATGCTTTCTCCTCACCTTAAATCAGACTGGATTAGTATTACCAAGTAACATGCTATTAGTTGTTTTCTGAGTATATTATGAGTCAAATATGAACCTTAATTAGATCAACTCAATTTTTCTTCTCTCTACGGTACTATTTTCTCCTTTTTCTGAATTATTGTGTGCTATTAAAAATTGGTTAACAAGAATTAACACCTCTTTTTATTTGTGACTTAGAATATTTTCTCTTGACTAGCTCATCTGGCTTTTACTACAAGAGAATGAGAAGTACTGCCCAGTTTGTTATTTTTCAAGAACTTATTTTATTTTCGCACAATTTTTAATCAAAAACATTTTTTATTCATTTTCCTCCAACCACTTTTTAACCTTTTGTACCTAGTCTATTTAATCCTGGCTAGTTGCAAGTGGATAAATCCATTGGTTCTTTACAATCTTTTTCGGTGAACCTTTCCCAAAAAAGGCCCTCATCTTTTTTGTGCCCTTTTCTCAAAATCATCATCTACAGCCTTTCAGAGGGTCAAAAATTTAACATTTTTCAACCCCCCAAACCTGGGATTATTAGTTTTCTGGTATTTTTCCTTTTTCAACTTGTAACAGAAGGAATTTTTCATATATGTAATCATGGGTTGAATTGACTGAAGGAAAAAAGGACATGAAAATATCACAATGGGGCATCAAAGACCTGACAGCACTTGTGGTTGGAATTGGTAGGTCTTTCTGGGCCATTAGTTCCAGTTTTGATGGAAGAAAAAAATCACAAGAATCCCCAGGTTTTAGGGTCAAGCTGAAATTCCAGGGTAATTTTTTCCTTTGGATGCTCCTCTGTCCCCATCTCAAACCCCACACTCCCTTGACCATAATTAGGGATGGAATCAGGTACCTGGTACCTGTTGGCAGGTACATGCCTGTTTATGACAGGTAACCACTGGTGGGTGCCAGTTGTTGGTGTCCAAATTGTGGGGAATTTCAGCCAGGTACCCGCACCTGTCACAGGTAACTGGCTGTAAATTGCAGCTGAAACAATCTTGACATGGTTGTTTATCATTGTAGGGGGGGGGGTACCTTCTGCCTTCCAACACATACCTGTCAGGGTAAACAGGTACTCGCTGGCGGGTGCTGGGTGTGGGTGTCCAAATTGAGGGGAAAAGCAAGAAACCAAATCTGAAAAGATGCCATGGCCCATATGCATGAAAAAGTGATATCTTGTGTGCCTGTTTATTACATTTTGAATTGCAAAAATAACCAGCATTACCAAAAAGTAGTTTTTTGTTGTGTTTTGTGTGGTATGGATTATGGGTTGCTTTATGCAGTCAATTTTCAAAATAGGAAAGAGATGAAGTGTTTTATTAACTATCTTACAAGTCAAAATCGAATTGAAGAAAACAGAAAAAAGTACTCTGATATTGAGTTCTCTTATCTTCCATCACAATACTCCTTTTTTGATTCCATTTTATTTTTGAACTGTTCAAAATGATACAATCATGAAGATTTGATTTATTTGTTTGTTTGTGTTGTATGTTTCACATAATTTTGCATAAGAAAAGGAAAAAGAAGATAAAATCTTGATCAATGACATATCTGTTTAGTCTGGGATTTTACCTGCCTCAGGACAGAGGAAGTTTTTCTCAATCAAGGGTAACCATTTCAAACTTTTTCCAAGAATGAATTTACATGAAAAAGGTATTTTATGGTGTCATATCATCTAAACTATTGTCCTAATCTTTTCATCTTGGAACTTGAAGCTGATGATCAAGATAATATCATACAAATTTGATGACTAAGAATATACAGCTTCAAGGAATCAGAAATACTTGAAAATTTGACAAGATTCTGCTTATTTCATAAAAATGAAAATACTTTCCAATCTCAGCCAGACTACTTGAGTTTTTGTAAAATCTAGCATGGTTCCTGTTATGCAGAGATTTCGATTGTTTCATAAGTCAAATATAAAATCAAGACTGGGTCTCTACTTGAAGCTGTGCTACATATGGGAAAATTAATGATGGCAAGTGGAAAATGACTATTGTAACAAACCAATGCTGCAAGTTTCTTTTCATTTTATTTCTTTGTTTTTCACAATGTGTCAATTTCACAATATTCATGTAAAGTTCATGGCTGGTAAATTAACCACATACTTCCATTGAAATAACATAAGAAAGATATTTGTTTCTTTGGGTTGAAGTATTTACAATTAAGTAGATTTTATGAGGCTTTGCAAAAAAGAGGACTACCTGAAATGAGTTTCAAATAGTGGATTATGTACTTCCTGTCAATCTATGGGCCTCAATTTAGACTTTGTCTAAGTTATAGTATTGAACTCACATTGATGATCCAATTGCGGCAAAGTAGGTGAAGGAGTACATAAGAAGGTCACCTTGAGAAAGGGTGGGCCATCTACACCATCTGGCAATACATTCACCTCCCTGACCTCAAACTCCTCAATTCCCTCCAGTAACAGTTAGATGGGGTTCCTTTGAAGGCTTACTATGAAGCCATCTTTTAGGGTGAACGTATTACAATTGAGCTCAAGTATTTCCTACCAACTACCAATCCAAACTCAAAAGAAGAGCCCGTTTGGAAACCCCAAATTGCTCATGTGTTGAATAATTATATAGCCATCCTGACTGATGGGAAGTCTGATTTATGTATTGATGCCTGTCCACTACCAGACCACCATTTTGATTGTGCGGCAATTGAATCTGTTGCTTTATTCGGGGAATCGTGTTACCTATCGATATATCATATGAACACAGCCTTTAGGATATTCCTTGATCGTTGGACATGCTCTTGTGGTGAAATTTGTCAATCTTTGGTGCTCTTCTAGAGTGTAGAGTCCAAGCACCGAGTCGCCAACATTGAGCGTGATGCAGGAGCCAAAATTTCCGCGTCTCCTGTTCATGGCAGTTTTCAATGTCCATTCTTCATCAAGTCTCTCTGGGTATAAGCGCGGGGCTGGCACAAGGAGTTAGTTACGCCTTGGGGCCATAACCCGCGCTTATGTGGGAAAAAAGGGGGGGGATTTCATCTTCTCCTCCCCCTTTGACCTAGAAAGATTTAGACGAGTATTGGACAGGGGAGTGGGGGAGAAAAGAGGGTGGACTCATTCTCTACGCCGCTAAGACCTCTGCTTTCGTTGGGTGCGTGACTACGAGTAGTCCACGAGCAAAAAACCGGCAAAAAATCAAGGGTGGGAGGGTGGTGAAAGAAAAATTTCTTGGAGACACGATGATGAAGAAGGAATAGCGTATGCGGCAAACTGGGTTGTGGGGAGGAATTAGGCGGAGGAGTAGGGGGGAGAGGAAACTTCTCGAGTCCGCTCTAATATTCACTGTAACCCTTAAAGTGGAGGACGCGGACGCACAGACCGTTCTGATCTCCTCTAGCCAGTTTGGCCCAGCATAGCGTCTGGATGGCCATGGACGGCGGGGACTCGTCTACGTCTCTGTCACCTCACATCCATTCTTCATCAAGTCTCTCTGGGTATAAGCGCGGGGCTGGCACAAGGAGTTAGTTACGCCTTGGGGCCATAACCCGCGCTTATGTGGGAAAAAAGGGGGGGGATTTCATCTTCTCCTCCCCCTTTGACCTAGAAAGATTTAGACGAGTATTGGACAGGGGAGTGGGGGAGAAAAAAGGGTGGACTCATTCTCTACGCCTGCAATCTTAGGATTCGCTGAAGGAGGAGGCTGAGCCGAGAGTGAGAACACCCAATCTCCGTATGAATCATTGATTGCAGTTTTACAAACCCATCCTTTTCCAATTACTCTTGATCTTTCTAAGTAACAACCTTGTACGTGCCATGTCTTCAGCATTGTATGGCCTCAAATATAATTTATAGCACTCCGACTTCCATCTGCCTAGAGTGCATAAGTCATCTACCGTCATACCCAAAGCATATCGTAGTGACGCTCCTCCTACGCGGAACGAGTGGCCGTGTAGACCTTCGAAGCCGCCTCCCAGAAGAACTTGTTCTAACCTGGCAACGGTGTTTCGTCTCGTTAGATGAGTACGCGCCCCATCGATTGTGAAACCAAAAAGAGACGTCCTCTCGCCCAGGGCGGACGATAACCTCCGCCGTATTGCTAAGACAGGGCACAGCACATGACTTTGTTCCACCAGGCTTATTACCTGTGGCGCGTCCGGGCCTCCGGTTTTCGCGTTCCTGATGGTTATAGATCCGACTAAATTAGATGTTGCTGATCCGCTGAAAACCACGTCCGATGTTAATATGGACGAAGCAAAAGATACCCGACCGTTGTCATGGTCGTAGCACAACTCTGCGATACGAGCTAGACCCCAGAAGGCGACGATGCAAAGGTCGAGCACCGCTTTGTCGAACGGCGACCCGTTGAATAATTTTTCCCACAAATGGGTTAGATGCCACAGCATTATCGGTAGCTTTGTTTTTCTTTTCGTCGTCACCTCGTCTTCTTTTGCCGATGCCTTCAAAATGAGATCGAGTCTAGCTTTGTTCGAATCTGGGAAGGGTTGATTGTGAAACGTGTGCCAACCTTTCAAACCCGCTAAATATTTCTTCAACGAGATAGCTGAGATTTTATTCTCGTTATGCGAGATCAGGTTTCTCCCTGCCCAGATGCAGAACTCCTCCAAATTCCTTGCCGTTATTGGGAGCGTAAATTGTTTTTCGTCTTTAGTGGCCATGAATTTGATGTATTTTGATACCGCTCCGTTGTAGCTCAATAATGTAGAGACTCTCCAGCCGGACAGGATGTGTAGATCGATCCCGGACGGGGTGCGTTCTCTCGTCCCGTCCCTTAAAAATAGTTTTATTTTATTGAAAGGGATCGTTTCGCGTGCGTGAGTCGTCATGTGAAAAGAAGTGCCACCTTTGAATTGTGATTCAAATGGGGGGAAAAAACAAAAGAGAATGAAAAGCAAAACTTTGCAAGGAAATGGGTTCACATGAGGGCTTATAGACTAAAGGTCGGTGTTAAATAACAATTCCGAGCGATCAACTAGGCATGAAAAAGAAAAGGGGCTAGATCTTTTGGGATGTCAAACCACACCCTATTTTCTGAAACATGGGGTCTTTGTATTCCCCTTGACAAACCGTCTGAAACATTTTCTTTAGAAGTGACCCTCATCGGGGTGATATCTAGCTCTTCTCTGATCAAGAGTCTCTGTATCTCCTTCCACTCGTTGTTCGCATGAAAGTCTTTGGATTTTCTGTTCTTGAGTGCGTTTTCAGTCGTCGTATTGTCTGTCCAGACAACGAAGTTGCACCCCTTCAAACGAGACCCTATCTCCAGAAGCATCAGTATTCCGACTCGAATTGCGACTGTTTCTAACCATGCAATGTTTCTTTTGGGAGACGCATCAGCCCAGTTTTCTTTAAGTCTAAGTTGTCCCCATCTCCTCCCGATTAGTACTCCAATACCGAAACCCGTCGATGCATCTCCTACCCAGTTGATTTCCGTTGGATTCGTATCTGGGCAAAGACGGGTGTTCAAATACTCGTTCAGTGTTGCCTGCCAGAATTTCAGATCTTCGAGGACGTCGTCCGGTACTACTCTAGTTGCCCACCGTTTTTTCCACTCGTTCATCCAACGATAAACTCCGCATATATAGCATCGCAACTGAGGGAGGAGGAGAGACACATGGTTGAGTCGTCCTGCGAGAATCCCTGCGTCCGTAAATCTGAATTCCTTCCCCGGTGTAAGAAACTCAGAAATTTGGCATTTTCGTTGTTCTAGTTTCTGTAACGGTAGGCTAACTGTTTTATCCCAGCCATTCCATATAAAACCGATAAATTTTTGTTCTCTTGCGAATTCAGTGCACTTATCCACGCTAGTGGCCACCCCTAATTCGACCGATCTTTCTGAAACCGCCTTCATGTTACACAGAGAGTCGGTCTTCTTCACGAATAGATTGTCATCTACCCATCTGAAAATTTTCTTCACGTCGAATTCCGATTCCATTATTTGTTTCCACGCGTCTGCCGGAAGTCCGAAAGATCCACATCCTGCGACGCCTCCGAAAGTAATTCTGGTGTCGACGTACAGGTCCCCTTTTAGATCCTTTACCATTAAAAATGGCCACTGGGATGACTTCGTTGGTATTTGACGGTACGCCTTCGCCCAGTCGAAAAGTGCTAAGTCGAATTTGTCTTCATTGTTCCTGAAAAAATTTGATACAATCGTAAAATCGTCCCACGTTGTCTTGAAATCGAGTTTGTTGACGAACGAGTTTACCGACATTATGCCAATGTTTTTCTTGTCGTTTTTCTTAGGGAAAGATAGATCATTTATTGGTCGCATCTTACCATCTGCGTTCACCACTGAGCCTAGTGGACTTGATCTAAAAAATTTAAATCTCGCCGCAACTTCTTCGTGTGAAAATGGGCCGAACATTCGCTTCGCTTCTACCTCCTCATTTATGGATTTTTGAATTTTGTCCTCAGCGTTGATTGCTGAGGAATGGTTATCTGGGGTGAACCATCTCAAATTCCCTATCACGTGATCTGGGATCCCCTGATCAAAACCATTGATGAACCCATCAATAATATGATTCATCGCTGGTAACAAACCAGCTTTACTTAGGGCTTCTTGCCAAATGTCAATGTTCATTTCGCATTTCACTGAAACTGGCCATACACTAGATTTAACAGATTACAAAAAGGTGAAAAACAATTGAATAATTTTTTTTTTTTTTTTTTTTTTTTTTTTTTTTTTTTTACTTTATAAAGATCATCACTGTAATCTGCTCATAATAAACGAAAAAGGTGACCTACGGCTTAGGATTACTAGCATTAACGTCATTTCCGCCTACTCTCTCATTTTGATCTGCTTTACCAGATCTAAATCTCTTTCTGCTATCGCTCCCACTTTGACTGTACGAGCCGCCTCCTTGACTGCCCCCTTGAGAGTTATTTTGATGATATGGGTGTCCTCCGTGATGGTTCTGATTTTGGTGGTCTGAATGCCCAAAATTACCGCGATGTTGTTGAGCGTTGAAATGTTGGTTGTAATTATAACCTGGGTTATAGTTATAATGTTGAATAGGATTCTCCTGATTAAAATTTCCTTCGAAACGATTTCTGTTATTTTCGCGTCTACGTCCTTGGTGATTGGAATAACTGAAGTGACTATTGTTATTTATAAAAGAATTGCGTCCCCCGTAAGGAGTTGGGGCCGAGTTGGATCGACTGAAATCGGGTCGCTTGAGGCCTGTGTCGGGGTCGAAACCGGCGTGAGACCCACCGGGTGCGTAGAAATTATCCTTCCAGCCTGACTCGCCGTGAGACCTCACGATGCTGTAGCATTGTTCTATTACGATGTCTTGTTTGACCGAAATGTCTGGGATTGCGGCTCCGTCTTTGGATGGGAGTCGGTGTGCGAACGCGTTCATTCTGATTTGCATGTCGTATCTGAAAGCCGTCATGAATCCGTATACGTCTGCGATCGAGTCACAATTCGCTTTGTGAATGAGCAGTTTCTCTGCGAAAAGTCTTTTGTTGTACACGTCTCTGAGAGTGATGAAGAAAGACCGGTGATTATTGGTCCACGCCGAGTGGGTTTGAGTCCATTCGTCGTAGTACGCGAGACCTCTGTACGCTTTGTCCTCTGACGACTTTGCTGGTTTCAAGAGCATGTGTGCTGCTAGTGCCTTCTTTTGCCAATCTTTATCGAATATGGTGAGAGGGATTGGGGCTCGTAACTTTTTGATGTTCTCGTCGAAATATGGTGTGAAGCCTATGTCTTGGTGGCTGGTTACTGCTCCTACCGCGTAGATGAGATTATCCTCCAATTGAGTTTCAGTTGGGACTGAGCTAGGTTGCCCACCTGGATTCGCAGTGACTAGTATGGGATGGGCTGAAGTGGATCTTGCTGGTGCGTTAGGTTTCTGTATGTCCATTGATTCATACGCAATAAGTAGTGCCCTAGCGAGAATCTCGTCGCCTGCGGTTTGAGCATCTTTAATCTTAGCCCAAATGTGTTCTCTTTCATCGATCTGTTCGGTGATCGGTGGGACTGACGTCTTGCTTGCGATCTCATTCAACGTTTCTGTGGATAATACTGGGTTCTTGCTTATCAAATCTACTGACTCGTCCCCTCCGCTATCCTGTGAGGCGTCTAATGTGATCGTAGGGTTCACGGGAGTCTCCGTTTCTGCTGATGGTGACGATGTGTTTTCATTGTTAACGACAGGGTTCTTTGCGGATTTCGCGCGCGTTACTTTGGGAGCTGATCTAAGTGTTGATTCCATATTTGACGGACGTTCGCTTGCTGCAAAAACGCGAAAACGAGAATATTAATATATTATCGTTGATATCTTATCTGTGATCGTGAGGGACGTGACTTTTGACGCTTACTCGGGATAATACGTGACTTTTGACGCTTACTTGGGGGATAACTCAAACGTCGAAAAGGGGCTTTGCCGACTTGATAAGATTCAGGCTCGGTCGGTAAGAAAATGGGCTTAAACGGTCGGTACGATGATGCGCTTAACTATATATTGAAAAAAGGCCAATTTCTATCAGTAAATGCAAAACCAATGAGCTCTAGGTCATTGGAGGAAGTACCTTACTACTCAAATTTCAAATTTGATGTCCTCAGGGTCTAGTTTAACCTGGTGTTAGTTGTGATTCTTCAGGGCCTGGTTAACCTGGTAGTGATTACGAGTGATTACGAATAGGATGTGCTCGAAACTTGGTGCGTTGGCGGTTCGACTAGTTGTCTTTTCTTTCTTCAGGGTCTAGTTAACCTGGTTTGTCCGAGTTGTGATGAGTCTTTCAGGATCTAGTTAACCTGGGAGAGAAAAAGGAGATGAAAGAAAAATTCCTTGGAGACACGATGATGAAGAAGGAATAGCGTATGCGGCAAACTGGGTTGTGGGGAGGAATTAGGGGGAGGAGTAGGGGGGAGAGGAAACTTCTCGAGTCCGCTCTAATATTCACTGTAACCCTTAAAGTGGAGGACGCGGACGCACAGACCGTTCCGATCTCCTCTAGCCAGTTTGGCCCAGCATAGCGTCTGGATGGCCATGGACGGCGGGGACTCGTCTACGTCTCTGTCACCTCACATTCAGGTAACCAGTGCCATATCAAGGGGTCACCTGCAGGATGGTAAACCTGTCGGTGTGTGTGTGAGCGGAATTGATTCGACTTGATCCAGTCCTTCTGAACTTGCGGCCCAAGCCAAGCTCAATGACTAGTTGCGGCCCCCATGTTTGTCTTGGAGAACCCTTCACCCCATCCGGCGATTTGTTTCAGAATCCACAGAATTATCCGCATGTCGAAGCTAGACATTCCATTCGCGTGTCGACGCGAGTCCTTTCAATTTTGTGAGTGCAGCTGCCACGGTGGTGTTATGGTATGTTGGAACATCTTTTGGCGCTCGAAATATACAACTGTCTTTCAATTCATAAAGCTTCAGACTTGATCTTGGCACTTTCGGTTATTGTTGATCGGGTTGTCCATGCCACTTGGGCGTGGCCTTGGTGCACCCTTCTCTCACTTTCAGGAAAAACAGCGCACCGAGTGTCTGGTTAGTACTTATTTAAAGTGCAAACACTTTTCTCTTTTGTCAAGAACATCAGACATCCCTTCTATACCCCCACGCATCAGTATCTACTCCTTGGTTTAGAACTTTGATTTCTGTGTAGTATAATTAATCCGTTTATTCTCAAAACCGTATCACAAAGCTGTGCTTTGATCTCCATCACTCCAATATTTTCACTTCAATTTTTTCAGACATATCTTCATAGAAATTCCTCTGTCCTCGAAAACATGGTTTCAAGCCGATTTATTTCACATTTCAGCCTCCTCATCGTCTTGGCACTTGCAGCGATTGCCACTGGTGCTGCCATTCCGGCCCGAGAAAGCCGGTAGGTCTTCATCTTCAACGGCCCGATGAATATTTGATTAGGAATTTGACTGATTTTATTTGCTTATCTTGATTCAGATCCGATGATCTATCCGGATGTTCAGACGGTTTTGAAGACATTTATGACAATGTTGAAGACTACGATGAGCCACCGGTGGACGCGACCTTGGTCACAATTTCAGTCACCAAATTTGTCAGCGTTGAGCCTCTTATGTCACCGTTTGAACCCATCTCGCCTGAGGAGGACTTCGACGAGGAAATGACCCCAACAATTATCGAAGTGTCAGTCATAGAATTGACCGAAATACCTGAGGAAGAGAACGTTTCACAACGATTCGACTCGGATGCAGAAGCGGAGGTAGACGATGAAAGCCGCCTCTTGGACTGCGACCACGAGTACCTGCCACACGAGTTCAACACTGCGCCGGGTAGTTTGTACGCATGAAAGGATAACGAAGAACTCCACTTCCCGGGTCGATGCATAGAGGCGTATACAAATATACCTGCACTTAACTTGGGATAATCTTTATTTTCTCAAAACAAATATCTAACAATACAGATGGGCTGGCCTCATCTGATTACTGTCCGAAAACCTTTGAAGATACGATTTTTGCTGTTTATACTGTAGTTTTTCATGTAAAAATATCTATGTACAGCCGAGGAAGGAAGCACCTGATAGAAAAAATGTGAATGATGAAGTGAATATCAACTGAAATGTCCAATTGTCAGCCGCAATAGTTTCGAAAACTCACTAAAAGTTTTCAATTTGGTGAATGGCCATTTCGATTATATGGTGATTCCTTTTATTTCTGCGTCTTTGAAAGTTTTGGATTTTGCCCCCCGCAATTACATTGCCGGCTCCGGATTCAGGGCTTTAACAAGTATGTACTAACTTTGGGGGTGTTCTCTCACCTTCATTTCAGTCTCAGTTGGGAGTTTTATGGTTGCTGAAGCTTATTGCAAAGCAAAATAAAAAAGTTTCCCTCACAGGAAAAGATCCAGGTTGTTGCTGGTTCTATTCCTGGCCTAGTACTTATTCTAAAAATGATAGTGAATTGTTGTTGACTTCTTCGGTATAGAATTGCGACAAAGGGAATAAGAGGTAGCAGATTTACATAGGGTGCAAGAGTTATCTTTGAGCAGAAGTTATATACTGTTGCCGACTATAGGTTCTGGCTCCTGAAATTTCAAGTGATTCGGGTGTCTGGATGAGATAGAACCCAAAAATGCAATTCCACAAGATGTCTCATACCTGGATGTGTTGAACCAGTAAGCCAAAATAGAAATTGACACATCAAAAGATTGTTTTTATCTCATGCGCAATGGGTGCGGTGAGTTTAATGGGAATTGAATTCAAAAGCAATTAACGAAATGTTGATACAACGAAAATTAGATGAACACATGCTGTAATTGTTATAGATTAATGTTTTTCAGGCCGATTTTTGATGAAGTGACATTCAGAATAGAGATGAAGGTTATAAATTGTCTATTGGTTTGGGGAGGTCTCATAAAAACCTCACAAAATGTGCTTATCAATGTTCAAGTTTTTCTACAATCTAGAACCTATCCAAGAAGATTGGAAACACCTTGTATCATTTATCGTTGCTGGTATTCCCACAAGATATGACCTTAGATGTTGACTTCCCAGCGCAAATGCCGTCTATTGACAAATTTCACCTTAGGAGGCAGAGAAGAGTTTTCCCGTCTCGTAGCTGTTAAATTGAAACCGTCCAGTTAGCTGGAGTATTCCACAAGGCAGTTTAAAAATAATTAGAGAACATACAGAGAAGGCAAGGGCTCCACGCGTTGTCTAAATATGAATTTTCGCACGTGATATACGAGGTTCTTGGCTTGATAGGAAGCATGTTTGGAAGTAGGTACCGAGAACACTGGAATATGATGAATTCATGCTTTAGTAAGAGGTCTTGAAGAATTCGGAATATGAAGACCAACCTGCATCTAGCTCTTCCAAAGTCAAAGCTTTGGTCTCAGGTCTGCCATTGGAAAAACAAGTTAGCTGGGTCATCTTTGGCTGGAAGAGATCAGAATCCTAAACGTACAAGAAGAAGAAAACCAGCACCGTTCCAACGATGCACCATGCAGCTTTCCATGACAATATAAATGGTTAGTACTTGAAACTCAGTCATAAATCAGAATTTTTGCGGCTTACCATACCAGCTAAAAGCTCCCTGTGCCTTAAAAGCGGTCAATAACAATGGGAAAGTGATTGCCAAGATAAAGCTGGAAATATCTCAACATCAGAATCAATCATGTTCCATATACGTGAGGACCAACTTACTTGAAAAACCAGCACACGGCGGTAGCGAAAGACATCCCGAAGTCACGAATATAAAGAGGGAAGGCCTCCGCACTGAAGAAAAGAATATCAAATTTAGTTATATCGAGGAAGAAAAAGTCGCATGAGGTTCATCGTACCTGTATGTGAATGGAACCGGCTGCGAAAAGGCAAGTTGTCAGTTTTGGTTACTCCAAGTCGCAAGAATTTGTAGGTTTATTCTAGGCAAAGTCAGTAAAATGTAGCTCACTCCCTCGCCAGGGCTGTAAAATGCCATGAAGAGATATATGGCACTGGCAACAACAGAAATTCTTCGATGATCATTTTCGTCTCCTTGCGGGATGAAAAATGCCATTCCAGTAACGAGTAAACATACGGCCATGCATGGTAACGTAACTAGCAGGAGATTACGCCTGCCAAAAGTCTATTGGTATTGGAAGATAAATGTCAGCTGTGATCGGAGACCAAATTGATTTGGAACAATTTTGTGAAAAAAAAAATGACTGACGTCGATAGTGTACATAGCGGGGATAGCAAAGACCCAGTTGACGAGCCCAGTTCCCATAGTGGTGAGCAGAGCATCTTTGCGGCCGAAACCAGCATCGATGAAAATTTGACTGGGCGCAACGGAAAGGTATCGGCCAAAATATTAACTTTCAAACTTGAGGTAGACAGTTTAGATCGAGGTTTACCAACTTACGAACTGTAGTATGCGATGACCTGTGATTGGAATTGCAATGCAGCTTATTCAATCTGTGGTTGGACGAAAGAAGTGTGAAGGGAGGTTGCCGTACGTTTACTCCACAAAATTGTTGCATGAACATGACCAGAGCTGAAGATTGAGCTGCCCGTCGAACCCGAGGTACCCGCCAAAGGTCTTTGAAAAGATTTCGCCCAGCCGTAGTTTCCTGTTCGACTGCGAGCAGTTTTGCCATGTAGAATACGTCTCGACTGGCCTGGAGATTACAAAATCGTAGACGACACATCGATTTATAAGCATCCGCAATGCGACCGCGAGACATATACCATCGAGGGGATTCTGGAGCAGGATATATCATCAGGCAAACGAGAACCGGTGCGACAGCAGTTGAACCAAGCATCAGGCTGTTCAAGTTTAAAACATGGTGAGTGAGATATCAAACTTGATAGTTAAATTCAGACTGACCGCCAAGCCAGATCCGGAGAGATGTCGACAAATATGACAGAGACGATATCTCCCAGAGCAATCCCAAAAGCCTAGGTAAAAGATTTTTCATGAATAAAAAAATTAACAGATAGGAATAGGCGAAAAAATCCACTGACCGTCCACTGAGAAATCAATCAAAAGTTAGCTCTTAATCCGCTCAAGTCATGAATACTTTGCACGTGAGGTGAATGGTTGCTTACAACTTGCCACTGCATCACAAGCGCACCTCGTATAGAAGCTGGAGCACATTCCGCTGGGAGAAGAGTATCAAGATGAGGCTCAAGATCCACTGGCTCAAGTCGCGAACCAGATGAATTTCTACTTACCAGTGTAGATTGGAGCTGTAGCGGACTGAGGAAGATATGCAAGACCTCGTTAAAATCTGTGAAAATATACTGAAAGAATGAGAGCTGACCATAGGCCCGATGCCAAAGCCAAGGAACAAACGAGCCGCGAATAATTGGGGCCATGAGTAGGTGAATGCTTGCCAGATGGAGGCCAAAACAGTGATTGCACAACAAAGAAAGATCACCCCACGCCGACCCAGTCGGCGATTCAATGGATCTGTTAACCAGCAAGATAAGGTCTTTTAAATTATTTACTGTCAGTACAAGTGGTTGAGTTTCTAGATAGGTCAAGCGGGGCATACTTACACAACACAGGTAAGGGGCACTATTAACAAGCCCTTGAATTACAGCCCTTTGGTTGGTACCGTTACTCGGTATACCAAAACGCTCGTAGTAGAAAATCTGGGCACCGTTAACCACAGCCTAAAATAAAAAAATAAGTGCAGTTTTGTGAGATTCCGGCTCCTGAATGCACTTGGAAAATTGCGGTAAGATTTCTGACCTCATCCATCCCTTGGACTATAGCAGCCATCGAAGATATAACGGCAATGTAAAACCTATCGGTTGCATCCCAGTATGGACAGAAAAAAACTCATGATCAGTGTGAAATCTAAATTTTGAGTCATGAAATCGACTGACATCGTCATTGGTTGCTTCCATTTGCGGGTGGTTTCAAACGAAACCCATTGTCTTTCTTCTTCTGTGATCTGTGGTAATCTATCGAGGTCTGAAGGATCGGCCGCCAAAATTGCACCTCGACGAAAAGTATGGACTGGAAAGATTACCCCAGCAACAGAATATTACCTTGCGTTAGCCTTTGCTCATTGACCAAAGTGGTTTCAGAAGAGGGATTTACCATGTTCCAGTAGAGAATGTTTTAGACAGAACTCTTCGGCTTCATCGATCAATTCTTGAGTTGTCAATCCAGCCAAAGGATTTTCGAGCTTAGAAGAAATTCGAGCGATTTCTTCAACTTCTGGTGGCAATACGTGTTGGTCAGACTTGTGCTCTTTCAATGAGACATTGTTTTTCTCAACAGAGTCTAATGACATCTTGCACTTGGTTTTTACTGGATTGAGGGCGGAATGGTCAAGCTGGGAGTTATGGGCGATTGAAGATGTCGTCTCAATTGTCAACAGAGCCGAGAGGGCTATTAAAGTACAGTTTCATCCTCAGAGCAGAACACCCACCTTATGCCAAAGTAACTCCTGAGCAAGTTGGCTGTGGGGGGCGCTCCGCGGGAATGAGGTTCGGGAGGATCTTTACCAGAACTGACAATATGAACGCTAAGTTGTCGCCTGGATATGAGGGGATCGAAAGGGTAAATCTTTCAAGGCAGCTCACACTTCACCCCGCGTTGGAGTCGATAGCGTGGAGTGTTCCTCTCTGAAACTGCTGATTGAGCAACCGGGCCGTGAGGTCTTTCAAGGGATATAATTTTCCTTGCCTCAAGGTCTATGCGAACGACCGCTAAAGACAATCTGGCTATCAAATAAAGAGGTGGAACACACTAGGCAATTTAGCAATACTAGGTCGACACATCGGGCGAAGAAGTTCTGCGAATGGAATATCTAAAGAAGCTTAACAGTGGTTGTTGAAGTCACTCGCCATATCAGGGCTATAGTCCTGGGAATTTCCACGGTGGATGGTTTGAGGTACTTTTAGGAGGGGATTTCGAAGAACACTTGATCACCACTGGCCAGGGTATGATCTTTCATGGAGCACTTCTCCAATACTTGACTCCCAGCACACAAGTGAAGCTCTGACCTTCACATTTTGTTCCGAATGTGTCGAGGGCTGAGGAGCAACGTCGTCGTAAAGAAGCGTGCTTTGATTTATATGTAAAACTTGTGATCTTCCTTACCTTGCTGCGAAGGCTAATCTTGGATTCAACTACAAGCTAGACAAGTCCACCTAAATATAGCGAACTTGAACAGTCCCTTCGCAGGAGCTGATCGCGCGAAGGAAGGCCCTTCGCGGTGTGTTGAGTTCGGGCCCTCCGCTCCGGGCCCTCTTCGGAGCGATAGACATCCATAGCCGAGGCCACCACACACTTCTTACTCATCTCCTGCAATGATCGCAGTACTCATAACAATATCGCAAAAACAAAGGGAGGATCTCAACAATCGAAATCCCAGTCATGATATCTTTCCCTTCTAAAGTTCTATTTCCCAATTCTACACGATGAATTTACCTCAACCGAGTCAACTCATGCATCAGGTTGAACCAACATAAAATGACACAAATGTGTATCATATTATGACTTTGCAATAGTTGGACGACAATTTTTTTTTTGTTGAGGGGCATTGTTTGATGGGAATGTTCAGATGAATACTGAGTCTGAAGCCAGATCAGCATATATCTTTCCTTGATGTTGTGAACCAGACAAAATATAAGATAAAATTTCCAAGTAGAGAATAAATAAGATACAATCAAAGTACAATTAAGGCCCCTAGCCAAGAAAAAAAAAACTACTACTACTCTTATTCAATGCGACGCTTGGGTTCGCTTGGACGCAAAAGCTTAGGCTTTAACACTCAAATTGAGTTGGTATCTAGGGAATGGATCAGTATTCTGGTCAGTCAGTCATTCATTCCTCGTGGTCTCTGGGTTTGAATCAAACAGAACGTACAGAGGAGGAAGGGGCTGAACACGCTTTCGTAAAACATATTTGTTGAAGCAGTAGAAGAAATTCTTCCATTGGTATGAAGCGTGCTTTCTGGTCGGGACAGAGAAAACTGAAGATGAAATTGAAGAAGGTAGATGAGTTCACTGAAGGAATAAGTTACAGGGGCTAATTTAAAAATACTCACCATAGTCGAGCTCTTCAAGCGTGAGCGCCTTAGTCTCCGGACTGTGATCCAGTCAAAACCGAAATTCCCGTCAGTTTCGTACTTACATGATGAAAGAAAAGAACAATGAAAAACGCACAGGATGAAGTAAACAGCAACCCAGCCGATGATACACCATCCGGCTAGTTTGACGAAGTGGAGGGGACTAAGTTAGTAAAATAGATGAATTTCAGTGGTTGGTATTGCAGGGCTTACCATACCAGCCGAAAGCACCCTGAGGTTTGAACGCTGTTAACATCAACGGGAAGGTTATAGCAAGTATGAAACTATAGAGCAAATGGCTGTGTTAGCTTAGGGTGATATTTCGATACAACCATGAAAAAGAACACCCACTTGAAAAACCAGCACACAGCCGTTGCATAAGACATTCCGAAATCCCGAATGTAAAGGGGGAAGGCTTCGGCACTGTAAGTGAATGGTACGGGCTAGAGGAGGGGCATGAGTGATGAATCTCGAATAAATTGGTAACTGGAAGGTAATGTGAACTCACCCCTTCACCGGGACTGTAAAACGCCATGTAAATGTAAATCGCAGCTGCGACGACGCCTACTCTGCGGTGGTCACCTGGTCCGTCGAAAGGAATGTAAAAGGCCAATCCGGTAATCAATAGACAAATTGCCATAGCTGGGAAGGTTGCCAAAAGAAGGTTTCGTCTTCCGAAAGTCTAGAAATCAATAGAAAATTCAATAGCTTGCCGACGAAGTCATGATCGGATTTCGAATCACATACATCAATCGTGTAGAATGCGGGGATTGCAAAGACCCAATTGACAATACCAGTTCCCATGGTTGTCAACAATGCGTCCTTCCTTCCGAAACCAGCTTCGATAAATACTTGTCTATACCCCCATTTGATGTTGTTAGCTACACAGTGGGTCAATGAATATCAGAGTATCAAGCTTACGAGCTGTAATAGGCGATGACCTGAGGAAAAGGATAAAAAAAACATGAGCAAGCGTGCAGGGTGCCGAAGAATTGTTGGCATTTGAACGCACATTGACACCGCAGAATTGCTGCATAAACATGACCAATCCAGAAGCTTGGGCAGCCCGTCTAACCCGAGGCACCTTCCACATATCAGTAAGCAAGTTTCGACCTTCGAGAGTCTTGTGCTCAATTTCAAGAAGTTTGGCAATGTAGAACAAGTCTCGGCTAGCTTGTAAGTCGCAGAAGCGCAACTTCCTCAAGGCTGCGAATGCGTCGGCTGTCCGGCCCTTGGACATGTACCACCTAGGCGATTCTGGGGCGAAGTAGATCATCACACACACAAAGATTGGAGCAACAACAGTGGAGCCAAGCATCAATCTGAAAAGCAACAACTACAGTCAACTGGTGATTATATTTCGGATTTGATTGGAGCACATTGATCTTACCTCCATGCCAAGTCAGGTTCGACATCGACAAAGATCACGCTGACAACGTCGCCGAGAGCGATTCCAAAGGCCTGAATGATAACAATATTCATGAACAAGTCTGAGGAGATGAAACCACCGAGTAAAAAAGAAACTTACTGTCCACTGCAACAAAACATGAACATGATCCACCAAGATGACACGAGATCAGAGGGAAATGTGTCAGCATATCATCTGCCTGAACTTATCCAAACGAGCAAACAAACCATTTGCCATTGCATGACTAGAGCACCTCGGATTGGTGCCGGCGCACATTCAGCTTAAGAATTAGGAATATAAATGTCAGTTGAGACTCTCCTTTTTAGAGTATGAGGCTTAAGCCGGGCAAATTTCTCACCTGTATAAATAGGAGCAGTGGCAGACTGCAAATCAAAACCAAATGAATAATTTAAGTCTCACTCCTCCTGTCAAACAAAGTCACCAGAAGCAAGAAACGAACCTTCGGACCGATTCCAAGCCCTAACGCCAATCGAGCGACGAATAGCTGAGGCCAAGAGTAAGTGAACGCTTCCCAAATCGACGCGACCCCGGCGATGAAACACGACCAAAAGATCACCCCTCGTCTGCCCAACCAACGGTTAGCTGGATCGGTGATCCAGCAAGCAAACAAGGCCTATCACCGATATAATTGACATACATGTGAAAGGACGCGAGTTGCAATGTGAGTTTGATGTCCGTTCATTATGTGCAATAGCAGTCCACTCACACAACAGAGGTAAGGTGCACTGTTCACAAGGCCTTGGATTAACGCGGTCCTGTTGGTTCCATCGGACTGAATCCCAAACCGGTCGTAGTAAAAGATTTGCGCCCCATTGACGACGGCCTGAAACGGGGAGTTTGGAGATAGAGCTGTCAGCATCTGTGGCAACAAAATAAAAGATTGACTTCGACTCACTTCGTCCATTCCTTGGACGATGGCAGCCATCGAAGACAAGACGGCGATGTAGTACCTGAGTTGGTGGTTTAATTAGGTACTCAGTAATGACGGCTTGGGAGGCCAACGAAGAACGCAGGATAATTTGGCTCACATGAGAAACGGTTGTTTCCATCGATGGCTCGTTTCGTATTCAATAAAGCGTCTTTCATCCTCAGTAAGGCCGGGCACCCGGTCGAGATTTTGTTGGTCTCCTGCTAAGATAGCACCCCTCTTGAACACCTCAACTGTTGGTGAATTGGGGATTATTCAAAGAATTAGTATAGCTCAACTAGACATCTTCATTTCGCATGCGGATCTAGAAGTCGAACAAGAAGACAATCATACCGTGTTCATCCAAGCCGCCGGATTTACAAAACTCTTCTGCTTGTTGAGAAAGTTCCTCAATAGTGAACCCAGCCAGCGGATTGTCAAGCTTGGCGGAGAGTTCAGCCAACCGGGCAGATTCGGGATCAAGTGGGGCAAGGGGGGCCGGTGGGGCCACCACGATACCACCGAGATCCTTCTCTGAAACTGAGGGCTTGCTGTCTAGTGCTGTGTCTTGCATTTCGGTTCAGGGTCTTGGATATATTGTATTTACTGGGTGGTTGGTAGTTATTGACGCGGACACGGATGGTTTGTTTCGCGAGATCGTATGTGGTCTCCCCCGAGCTTGAAAGGTTCCGATTACTTAAACGAGTCAATCAAGTGCGCTAGTGAAACCTAGTGAGGACTGGAGTACCGCGAGAAGGACTGATGATGTGAACGATTAATAAATGTTCGGGAGGGATAGATCTTGTTATGGGTATAAATGTATAGTGGGAAAGCACGCGTTGACTAGCCGTGGAAGCCTGGCCGGGAGGGGTTTTGCAAACACACAGCTCGCCGAGCAGGAACAGGAAAACGGAGGAGGAGTTTGGGAATCACAAATCCCAATATTCAGCACTGTGCGGGGAAGTTGCAGACAATGGATGCTTGGACGCGATCAACGATTTTAAAAGACCTGCAGCAGGAACCTGGCGGAATGCAAGGTGATGGATGGCACCGGTGTTTTGTTGCTGTTGTAGATATTTCCCAGTGCCACCGGCACCCAGAGGGCTTTGGTCGCCGTGCCCATCCTACATAGGATGTAGATACAACATAGACCTTGACACGCACAGCATTCAATCGGACTCATTCATTTGAGCAGGTTTTTCAAATTCGCCTGTCAACCGAAGTGAGACATCGTAATGACTCACGACAACTGTGGGTGAACACGTAAAAGGAATCCATCCGAATCCGTGATCGGGTTGAATAGTTTTAAGTTTGAATGCGACAGCCAAGTCCAAATTAGCTTCTGCCTCAACTCAACTACAGCCATCTGAACGAATCAGGTGATCATGCCCGGCGGGACAACGCCGGGGATTCCAAGCTGGCATAAACTTTTTATCCGTGGTTGAGATGGAATCGAAGCTGCTGCTGATGGGACCGGTGTCCGGTGTTGTACAGCGCGACTGAGAGCGCTTCAACACGCGTCCATTACACCATTGCGCTTCGAAAGATGTAAGTTCAACACAGGAAAATCCGAATAATCTAATCAAGCACACCCTTGAAGTGGGTGCCATCGATCCACGACATATAGCAGGAAGTTTGGCTGGTGGAGTCTCGCTACGTTCATTGATAGAAGATTGATCGGACTTTCTCTGGTCACTCCGGTTCTCCGGCCGGTCGCTAGCGGAGTAGAGTTCTGAAGCGGTGGACCGGAACACCTGTTATCATCGGATATACCCGTATCTTGCCAGTCCACCAAGCTGGATGGACACATTCCTCTGAGATTCTGGGGAAGGGCCGCGCAAATAGATCATTAAGCCTCCGCGTAGGTCGCACGGGTACATGAGACCGGGTCTGACCGGGTGCGGACCGGAGGATAGCATCAGGCTCGATGTTCCGATCCGTACCACACAGATCCGAGGGCATTGGGTCGGATCTACAGACTGAAAGTCTGAAACGCCATTGGCGGGGACGGGGGTTTGAGCATCGGGTTTACCCTCCCCCCCGAATGCAGCACTCAGTCCATAGTCTCAGGAAAAAAGCAAAACGACTTGGAACACTCAAGACATATCAGAAAACCACGACATCGAACATCGGAATCAGGTCGTAGAGGTATCGAGGAATCCAAGCTTGGCCATCGATCATCGTCGATCGTGCTCTAGGCTCGATGGACTCATCAAGAATCGCCCAAAAAACTTTTGAACTTGAAAACCAAATTCAGGTACATGAATATAATATCCTTAGCTTGGCGTGCCCTGAAAACCCCTAAGGACGCGTCATGTCGCTCAAACTGATACATTTCGGTGGTTACGCGCTTATGATTTCGGAAACTCAGCCTCTAGAACAGGATAAAATATTCAGATATAACGCCGAGGAACAGAAAGCAATCCAGAAAGAGGCACGATGGAAGAAAGATCCTCATTACTTCAAAAAGGTTAAGGTCTCTGGTGTCGCTTTAATCAAGATGGTAAGTTCCTTGAAATTCAATATATATAGCATCAGGAAAGAAGAAGGTACAACACATTATCATTTGCGTCTTATACGTATTTTAATCTTATTAGTTTTGTTTTTCTGAAAATTTCTGATCATGTAGGTCATGCATGCTCGATCAGGCGGGCAATACGAAATCATGGGCCTCATGCAGGCGAGTCGTCCAGAGTTTTCTGCAACGCGACATACGGAAGATTCTGATTTATTTTGTTTTCTGATGACAATATAGGGCAAGATTGATGGGGACACGTTTGTTGTAATGGACTCATTCGCGTTGCCTGTTCAAGGAACAGAAACTAGAGTTAATGCGGCTAGTGAAGCTAATGAATACATGGTCGAGTTCCTTGAAAGATCAAAAAATGTGGGCCCATTTTTTTGGGATCATTCTGAATTGACCCGACGACGAGATGCTTTCACTTGAGATGATTGGAGAGAAACTGATACGTTGTTTCATGGATTTCGATATATTAGGTTGGACGATTGGAAAATGTTGTGGGATGGTATCACTCTCACCCTGGCTATGGCTGCTGGCTATCAGGAATTGATGTCAGCACCCAACTGACGAACCAAACATACACCGACCCATTTGTGGCGATTGTTGTGAGTAGAATCCTTACCATAAGCCCTCTAATATCCATCCAAAGTCTGAGCCGACGAGACATTACTGCAGATCGACCCTAACCGAACGATCTCAGCGGGCAGAGTCGACATTGGCGCCTTCCGCACCTTCCCTGAAGGCTATACTCCTCCTTCGCTCGGAAAGAATAAGGACGACGAATACCAATCAATCCCGTTGTCTAAGATCGAAGACTTCGGCGCCCATGCTAACTCTTATTATGCCTTGGAAATCGAACACTTTAAATCTAGTTCAGATTCTAAAATCTTGGACCTCCTGTGGGAAAAGTATTGGGTGATGACTCTCAGTCAAAACACATGGCTTTCAGTTAAGCGTTTGCTTTATTTCGCATCTTTCCCAAGGGTTGGGGACTTCCCAATGATACTCATACTCCCTCCTTTTTTGTCCGAAACCTCAACGGGAAAAAAAAACAGAATCGTGTATACACGACTAGTCAAATCCAAGAAATGACTGACAAACTAACAAAATCGAGCAACTCGCTATCGAGCAACAACAAGCGAATTAACCTGAAGACATTGATACCCGCCAACTTGCGAAATGTGATCGACAACGAGAATAGTCATTCGAACAATAACAGTAATCCCGACAACTCGGTTCAACCTCATTGCCAACATCAGCTGTTCCATGACGTCTTGAAAGACGTCGAAAAATTGGAGGTCGAAAACTTGTGTGGCATGTTTGGTCAGATTATCAAGTTGAGTCCTCTGTTCCCAACACTGCTTCTTTCATCTTTTTGTCTTCTTTGCTAATCAGCTTTATCTTCTATCCTCAACACGTTTACCTCAAAAAAAAACAATGAACTGTGTATCCATATCAAGACATGTCTTGTTTAACAACAATTTTCAAAAGTCTCAGCTCGAGTTCCCTATGTAATAAAAACCCCTTGTTTATTGTTATTTGATTGCCATGTAATGAACGAAAAAAAGAGGAGAAAACGTGTGGATTAAAGGGGAGATGATCATCCTAAAGGTTTGCGTTTATTTCCAAATCCATGTACATCCAATCCTGTTTTCTTCTTTGAGCCATTTGCCATGGCCAAGAATTGATGAAATAAATAGCCCTCACATTGCAGTTTCTGCTTGCTGCACAGGTGTACTGTTACCCAGGGAAAAGTGCAACAATGTGCCTTAGAAAAGCAATACATATACAACTCTTTAGAGTGACCCTTCTACCCATGACATCCACACAGAGATAGGAGTTTTGTTCCTTTCTTACTGGCAAAAGCTGATCAAGTCATGATAGAAATCATCCCAATGTTTAATGGTTGGATCAAAGTTTCAACCTAATTACCACTTGACTTGCAATTATCAATGTTGTCAAAATTTACATTTCTGTTGATTAATTTTGCATGCCATTGTCCCACATTTTCCACACTTTCCCCAAACCTGATCACTTCAATTTTTGGCTAGTTGACCATTTGGATTGAAAAACAAGATGACTCATTTCTGCCCACTTGACATCATGAGACACCTTCATCCTTTTTTTATTTAGAAAAAAAAACGGTGTTCAAAAATTTGAATCGGGAAGTTTGGATATGGTTTTAAGAAATTTTTATTTCAAAATGAGTTTTTCAAGCTCATACCTTGCACAAAATGATACACAGAATGATGATAGCACTTTCTCATTTTGCCATGTAAGTTAATTTCCATTCAAAACAACTTTTATTTGAAAATAAGAAGGATGAGAAAGAAAGACAGAAATAATGGGAGGTAGATTGAAACATGGTAGGAGTCTGCCAGTGCAATTCAATTCAGGAATCATCTACACAATTTTGTTTTCAAAAAAAACAACTTAATTTTTTCTTCTTCCTGTAAATACTATTAAATTTTAATTAATGGTGAAAAAATATGGTACATTTTTTCTGGAATATGAATGCATTCCTCACACCTCACATTGCCACATATGAAAGTCTTGGTACCAAATAAATAATGAAGGTCTGTAATTACAAAGTCTGATGGAAAAGGAAGAAACAAAACTGGGGGAGCACTAAATAAAGAAGGAATATTTTTAGAGCAGATACAAAAGCAGCTGCTTTGGGAGAGAGATGTGAGAATATTAATTTGGTATGTCAATTACATTAGAGTATCACGATTTAGTATTCAGCGCTTTACCGTTGCGTATCCGATGAGGAAAAACTTGATAGAAAGAGATTAAATAAGATCAAAGAGTAGAGGAGAAAGGCTCTTGAGTTCGCAAGTGATTGAAATTTGACAGCAAAAAAATATTTTCTTTTTTCTCAAAAAAAAGATCTCCGCCGTTCAAAAAGGTTGATCAGTCCGTTCGAGAAGGTGTTCAAAGAAGATGTATCAGAGCTAGTTTCAAGATTTTCTGATCCCAGAATTTCAGAATTCCGAAGCTGGGCACACTGAGTTGAAGTTGAAAGGATGCATGAGACCGGAGGTTTCAATGCCAATTGGGCTTGAAGCGGACGAGTAGTTTGTTGAAGTGCTAGGACTATAACGATTCAATTTCGCGCACTTTATCCTGGCACCTCCCATACTGATATCCTTGGAGTTGATCATGTCGATTGCTTTGTGGTATTCTTTCATACAGTCGAACGATAAAGTACCATGGCCTAAGCTCATCCCACTCTGGTTGCTCACATTCAAGAACGCGGATTTTAAGTTCTTCAATCCCTGTCGAATGAAGAATCGGAATAGATCATCAGAGTCGATACAAGCCACTGGCGATACATTGGAAACTAAAAGAGTCCATTGGGAGTGGGCCTTTTCCGAAACCAAAGGTGCGCCAAAGTTTAGGTGTTCGGGAAGAGATGTCTCGAAAAGAACCGAGGCACTGATTTCAGGAGATTCTGTTCCAGAATCGTAGGATAATGATGGGGTGAAAGGAAAGACACTCTCTCTATCGCTTTCAGGAGACCTGGACGAATCCAAGGGCGAAGCCAGGTGGAATGATGGATCGAGTTCGAGGAGGGTGTTTGGATTGGTCTTCGGGACTTTGACGGGCTTGCCATTCCGCGGAGCTGGGAAGGTTGGAGACTTCTTCGCAGTATAATACTTCTCTCGATCTTCTGATTTGCGGCAGGTCGGTGGCCTAGCGGTCGCATCATGGTGCAGAGGGCGCACTCCTTTTGCTGTCGAGTTGCCATCAAAAGGAACCGTAGGCCCGCCACTGCGTTGGATGAAGGCATAGCTGATGTGCAGCTCGTACCCTTCCACGCGTTTTCCATGGAAGTTTTCGACCACACGACATGCCTCGTCTGGCGTGGCCATATCAACAAATGCCCGACGTCTTGAAAAGCAATTGCAAAAAAAGTCTTCGTCAGACTTCTTGCCAGCGTCAATGAGAGCTGTTTTATGATAAGCCCACAAACTCCGGAATACATACCTGCCGGCGTTGTCCAAGGTGGCAAGGACACATACATGCTTCACTTCACCACTGCCCTGGATGATCGCTTTCAAGCTTTCATTGGTCATGTCTAGGCTGAGATTGAGTACATAAAGATTGCAGTTCTTGCGGGAGCTGGCAACCCCCGATTCCGCCTTCGACATCTCACGAGGTTTACTTTGAGACGAATTGGACGACATTTGCTTGTGAGGGTAACATCCGACGCTTCCTTCGGATCTACTTGTGGAACGAACACCGGGACCTTTGTCGTTTTCGTCACGTTGGGTTCCACCACCGAGTGGGCGCCAATTGAACGAGTGCGGCGGTGATGAATAGTTGTTGGTACTTGGCACCGATGGCTGCAGCTTACTAAAAATCCACCAAAGGTTTTATGAGTTTCGGTATGCATGAAGAAGGTTTCGAAAATGTTGACAGCTCACATCTTGCATCCACCCAGCGAGAGGCCATCCATGGATGTCAAGACACTACGTGCAGTCTCAGCTTTCTGGAAAGAGATCATAAATTGCTGGTGCTCGCCTGGAGAGCCAGCTGTCAATTGCTGAACTTCTGTGACCTCCCCTACCGCTGAGAAGAAGGTGTACAACGTATCTCGCGAGACTGGATCCAGCGAATAAGGAAGCCGATTAGCGAATTCAAAAAAAATAGAACCAGGAAGATGGGATGTATGATCAGATGCTAACCACTCTTGGGTACATTATTCACTTTGATGCGAGTACCAAATCCATCAGACTGAAACTGCTGAGTCTTGTCCAGCATTCTTACAACAGTTTTAAGTCTCGCGAGTTGATTAGGAGTCTACCGAAATGATGGTAAGATCGAGGATAATGTTTGCGAACTAGGTAGAGGTTTATCCTACGAATACTGTTCACTCGAGTAGAAAAGGCAGTGTATAAAGATCGAGAATGAAGTAGCAATTTGTGGGGTGATTACCGAGCGGATAGACATATATACCCTTGGCATCGTTGACACTCCTATGAAGAATCGGTTTGTTGTATCCTTGATCCGCCGAGCTGGAGCAGAGTGTAATGCGCCTGACTGCCACTCAGGCACACTTGATTACGAGAAACACACCTCTGTCTGGGGTAAAGCACCTGCCACCAATGAGAGGATCAACTGACACAACTGCCTCGACAGGGTCCAAGTTAAGCATCTTCCAATGGGTCAATCGATAGGTTGAATCTCTTTGCAGGATGCACGCTTCAACCTTAGGATTATCCTGATTTCTAGCACAGTGACTCCCGATACTAGTCTTAATGCCATATTCAATCCGACAACGGAATTACAATGTGTATCCGCATATGTCAAAAGAAGCAAGCGGGCTACAAGGCGCCAATAATCTTCCCAAGCCTTACGTTTTTTGATTCACGAGTGCTACCCGAAGTTTCAAGATGACACGATGCCCGTTGAAACTTGGCGGTTAGTTTGTGCTCGGCGCGAACGCGTTGGGGCTTCTATTCATTATCGCGTCAGATTGCGTTTTGGGTGCAGGGCATCATCCCAAGGCCAACACTTCGTATAGGCCCCGATTTGCGCGACTTTTTCTTAGGTCAGTCCTGTGATAGGAGGACTTCGGGGTCGAAAGAGAGGTGTGAGTTCGATATGATTGCCTGTATGCTCTTACAAGGCAAACAACAAATTGTTCAGAGGATTTTGGCACACTTGCACGGTGAAGATAATTTTAACCGACAATCGGTCACGATGGTACTACATGCATCGATGCTGTTCACTGTTATAACCAAGAGGCCTTTTCTAATTTGAGTACAGACAATTTATGTACTGAATTAAGCGTACTCAGTCGGCAACTTTCAGCTGAAGTCGAGCCTTGCGCTTTCATGATGCTCATGGTAAGAGACCAAGCAACAAATTCTCAGATTCTCTTTGCTATTAGTGATCGAAATTAAGGCCTCACTTAATTTATGATAGATCCAACGATTTCTCACTCTCCATTGCTCTGAGATTTTCTGCTTGCTACAAATTATCCAATCAAGAAGCCAGCGTAGCTACCATAAATTGGTGATCCCGAAATTTCCTGATCGCTTGACAAGTTGACCTTGGAGCCATCCATAATTCTTGGTCACAGCAAATTTGTTGTCACAGTGATCAATCAAGCAATTAACTGATAATGTGGGTAGAAAAAAATTTGGTTCTTGTGTGCATCACTTGGTTACTTAAAGTTCAAGTCAAGTGTCCTCGGAATTCACTTCCCAACAAGGGGTGTAAGGTGCCTTATAATGATTTTTCCTCCATTACACTGTAAGTTGTCTGAGGGTTTCTAGGGTTGGGGGAACAATGAGATTGTGTCTCTGGTATTCTGCATGCAAGCCTTCCTGGATAATATTGCTTGTTGACTAGATTTGTTTGGGCTTGTAAGTTGTCTTTTTGGCTGGAAAAATGAAACCCTCGAGTGCAGCAAGCATCCCTGCTGCCATCAATTCAGAAGTTTTTTCCTTGGGTAATTGGATGAAGTAACCACATTGGCCCAGTGTCTCACTTTTGTCCAAGTCATCTATGTCAGTGAGTTAGAGTGTCTCCTTGAAATTGTCCAAGGATACCTCTTCCCCTTGGGTAAAATGTTTCCAGAGCATGATTACAACCCCTTCTTTTATTATGGCTCCAAGTTTTGAACAGTGAAAAACACTGTCCATCTGGTAGTTGAGTTGTTTGACCTTTTTCCCTTTGAATGTCCTCAAGAGTGTCACTGAACCTCAGTTGACATTCAGGAGCTTGTAATAACCCAAGGAGAGTAAGCTCACATCCAGAGAAGCTAATAAGTTCTTGGAATAATTGGTCTGGATCCTCAAATTCCCTATGGAGAGCCACAAAGCACTGGCTTTCAATGTTGTCAGTTGACATGCAAGAGCTCAGACCATACTCTGCACTGAACTTGAGTTGAACTCACACGTTTGTTGTATGTACAGCAGTTCCCAGAAAGCTTGCTGTCGCGAGCTCCTGGGATCCCAATTTTTTTTTTTTTTTGTGCCTCAATTTTTCTTTGCTTTTCTGTCCTGTACGTGGCCTCGTACAGCCATAATATTCCAGGCATCATGGCCCAACTCCCCCATTTTTCAAGTTGAAGATATGTGTTGAGTTTTCCTCTTCTCTGGTCTACTCTTCCCCAAAATCACCCCTTTTTCTTTTCAAGTCATCATGAAATCAGACTAGATTATACTCATCAAGTAGCTTGTTTTTTGTGGTTTCTAAGCCCCTTTTGAGTCAAATATGAACCCTAAGCAATGCTCTTCCCAACAACTCATGTCTCTACGATGTTTTTCTTCTCTTTCCTGATCATTCTTGATTGATTTACTAAATGCTGATTACTTAGAATTAACGACTCTAAATATCTGTGGTTTATAACATGTTTTTTCTTGATTAACTCATCCGGCTTGGCTAAAAGAGACTGAGAAGTTTTGTACGGTTTGTTTCTTCCAAGGACTCATGTTTCTTCCTCTCAGTGTTTTTATTCAAAATACTTTTTCTTTATTCATTTTCCTTTCAACCACTTTTTGACCATTTGTACCTAGTATATTTAATCTGGGCTAGTTGCAAGTGAATAAAATCATTGGTTCTTACACTCTTTTTCTGTGAACCTTTCCCAAAAATAAGATCCTCAATTTTTGGCCCTCCACCTCTTTACGCGCCTGAGTCTTAAAATTTTAACAATATGGGAGTTGGACCATTGGATTCCTCTCATTTTTTTGATTTGGAAGCGGTCATCACACCCGTTGTACCCAGCCCCCACCAGGCAACCGACAGGTGCCCGGAGGCCTCACCCGGCCTCGGAAGCAGATCCGCAACCTGTACAATCATGTGTACAGGTTACGAGGCACAAAAAAAAGTTGAAAAAAAATAAAAATAAAATCAGATCCCAGGAGATCGTGAGCGCAAGCTTTCTGGGAACTGCTGTACCTTGTTCTGGTCCACCCCTTTGAAGTCTCAGGATTGTACCACTGAGTTACATCAGTACAATGAGCTAGGCTTGAATTGAGGTTTGATTGGAGTTTGTTGCACGTCAAATGCTGGAAGTTTCTTGACTTTTTCTTGTAGTGTATATATATATTCATGTAGAATGGAGTGATGATGTGACAAGTTCCCCTCATTGCAAATCAATTCAAAACAGCCAGTAGTAGTAGATGAAAAACTTAACAAGAGAAACAAATGAAAACATCCAAAACACATGCGACCTTTAGCATCAACTGAGAAAGATTTGAGAAGCAACAAAGAAATAAAATACCAACAGTCTTAAATAGCAGAACGTGTATAAACTAAACAGGTTGAGTATGATTTGATGAGACAATAACGGACTAGACAAATGAAGCTATTACCAGAATTATTTAGTTCAGTAATGTCAATCATGAAATGAGGAATTAACAAACAAAAAGAAACAAAAGACAAACAACAATAGCTCCTTAATTTGATTGTCTTGATCCTCCTCCTGTACTGATTAATTGGTGTGCTCGATTATGTTGAGTCTGTGTGTTTTAAATCAATGTCGACTGTGAGTTACTATACTTGTAATATTGGATGTTGATATTTTACTACCTTAATGCTTCTTGACTTCTTGATCTTGATGAAGTTTGAGTCTTGAGTCTTGAAGCATTGATGTTGTTGAGCGAAAAGAAAAGAGACAAAACTACAAGCCAACTCCAACCTTCCACCTCACACACACTGCTGATGTAATCATTTGAAATCACCACTCTGATTCACACATGTCGCTAGACGTCACTTCAACTCTCACACCTTGCATTGCTAATTATTTCTCAACAGAATGACAGAGATGTCACTAGGCAATCTGACAAGTCCAAGAAAGAAATCCAACTACTGTGGCTACTATTAACAGGCAGCAAAACCAATTGGAGGCGGACACTTATAGGCGGGTTCATGATAGCATTTCTTCTGTCTTGCATGAAATCATTTTTTTTTTCCTTTTCTAATCATGGGCTGCTTGTCCAATCAAGACATATGTGTGACATGTAGGCTGAAATGTTGGCCTGCAGCTTCTTATATTCAACTTCAGGTCAGTTCTCTAGGGATCAGTTGGATGTTCTAAGTTTCATCAATCTGGTCAGAACCTCTTTGACATGGCTCAGACTTCTTGTAACTGGTCAAGGCCAAGAGAGTGAAAATCCACAGGAAGTGCATCTTCCCAAACATCTTCCCTTTCAAACTGAGGTCTTCCTTTACTAACAATGGTGAGTCATTATGCTAACCGTATCAGTTAGCGCAGCAGAATCTGCTAAAATTGAGCATGCCGTGTCCACTCTAACACTACGGATGCAGCCCCTAAAAAGTGCCCGCTAAGCTGCGCTAACATTCTGGTTAGTGGCAATTTGGACCTGTAGAGACTGTTAGCGGCCCATAGCGCAGCGTAGCATAGCTAAAAACCTCTAAAATTTCTCTAACACTATACAATTTTGGCACACGCAAAAAAAAACGTGCATTGATAAATGCACTCCCTCCCCCTCTTGATGGCTGGGAGGGATTCCTCCCGGCCATCAAGACTTGTACAGTCTTGATGGCTGGGAGGAAAGATTCATTGGCGCGCTGAAGTAAGCAAAACAGTCCAGACTGTTTTGCTTACATCAGCCTGCCATGACCTCACAGGTGGTTGGCGTGCAATCCCACCCACCCATTTCTGAGAGGGGGGTTTGATTGCACACCCCTTGGAAGCCTGATTCCTCAGAAAATCAGGCTTCTGAGGGGCGTGCAATCAAACCCGCCCCTCAGAGACAGGCGTGTGGGATTTCACACCCCTTTTGGAGGGGCGGGGGTGTGGGTGTGCGGGAGGGGGGAGGGCGTGCATTTATGAACGCACAAAAAAATGCTATGCCAACACTTTTTGGGGAAAAAGCGTTGTGGCCCACGATAATCATAACAATCAGACACACACTTCAAGATCGTCCACCCTTTTCCTTTTGATCATTACAGGAAACACTTTAATTATCATACCACTATTACTACTACTACAAAAAGATAAGAAAACAAGGTAAGATAAGATGACATGCAGAGGGAGAGGATTGAGAATTATGATGGAAGAGAGAAGAGAGAGCAAGAGACAAAAGTGCAATTTTGTTGTGGGTTTTGTATATGATGATGTGGATGGAGACAAGTTGATCACATTATCCTGATTCCCTTGCTGTTAAGGAGTTGATTGACTGGATCTACAAGCTTGAAAGCCCTATTCATGTGTGATTAAGGATTTATGATATTTCAACAAGATTATACACACAGGGATCCTATACACAAGAACAAATCTCCTTTCTTTTTGATACTTTTGGTGTTAAGTTTGGAGACTTCATCAACTTCAATAACAAGGAGAAAACAAAAAATAATACAAACAACAATTTTTTTTTTCACTTTTTTTTCTTCTTTATGAATCTTCCGGCCTCCTTCATGAAAGTGACAAGATGAGATTATTACTGGACGATTCCATCATATTGATCGATTGTACTTCTGTGCAGTGGATTAGATGAGATGTTGGGAATGAAGAACCTTTCTCCTGAGTTCAATTCTTTACACTCAAGTTGAGTTGATATCTAAAAACAACAACAAAAAGATTGAGTCAATTGATGAATAGAAAGGAGATGAAGAAAGATGGAGAGAGAGAGAGAAAAAAAAACCGACAAAGGGGGTAAAGGTTTGACTTGTTGTCTGAGGACGTATTTCCTGAAACACCACATAAAGTTCTTGACTTGATAAGAAGCGTGTTTAGCAGTTGGGACCGAGAAGACTAAATGATGCATCCCCCATTCAGACACACACACAGACAGATCACACCAACCAAGAAAAAAACAAAGTCAGTTGGATTTGTTTTATTTGTAGAAGGAGGGATTGAACGAGGAAAAAGGAAGAAGCTAGACGGACCGTAATCCAATTCTTCAAGAGTGAGCGCCTTAGTCTCAGGCCTATAGACACAATATGGCACATAGGTGGCAATGCAGAAGATTTGAGATCAGAACAGGTAGTCCACAAACAGGTTTGGCAATCATTGGAAGTCAGATAGCCGATCGTACTCACAGAGTGAAGAAGACAGCAACCCAGCCAATGATACACCAACCGGCTGAAGATTCCAGAAAAACAATAAACCATCAGTTTCAGTTGAATCCGGACAAACAAATCAGAGCTTTTTGGTATGCCCATGACATAACTCACCGTACCAGCCGAACGCCCCCTGCGGTTTGAAGGCGGTCAACATTAGGGGGAAGGTGATAGCCAGAACAAAGCTTTGGAAGAAATCGACGGTTTGTTAATACAAGAGCGCCAGACTTGTCATGGCCGATGAGGAGAATGGAGCTCAACTTGAAGAACCAGCAGACAGCGGTGGCATAGGACATTCCGAAGTCACGGATGTAGAGCGGGAAGGCTTCAGCGCTGTACGTGAACGGCACAGGCTATGATAGGGAGAGAGTGTGAATGAGGGTGAGCATGTTAGCCTGGAGTGAGCGGGTCCAAAGGATAGCTTCCACTTACACCTTCGCCGGGACTGTAGAAGGCCATGTAGAGGTAGATCGACGCCGCCACGACACCCACTCGACGGTTGTCACCCGGCCCATCAAAAGGGATGAAGAAGGCCATTCCGGTGGCCAATAAACAGGCCGCCATGGCCGGGAACGTCGTCAATAACAGGTTGCGTCGGCCAAAGGTCTACCCTCATCGTCCCCCTTCATCAGCTTCCACGAACCTAACAGGGTTTCTTGGCAAAACCTGAAAATGATGTTTGGGGTAGAGCTCACGTCGATGGTGTAGAGTGCTGGGATCGCAAAGATCCAGTTGACTAGTCCGGTTCCCATCGTCGTCAATAATGCCGCTTTTCTGTCGAAGCCAGCTTCGATGAACACTTGCCTAATATCAAGTGTGTTGACCAAAAAAGATAGATATCAGAAATCCATAACAGAGAACCGAAAGAAAAAAAACGTGTGGAAAAAAGATCTACTGACGAGCTATAGTAAGCGATGACCTGAAGACATATAGGTTAGGGAGTAAGAGTCAGTGCCAGTCGACGGGAAGGGATAAGTGATGAGGAAAGTAAGGACATACATTGACGCCACAGAACTGTTGCATGAACATGACGAGGCCGGAGGCCTGAGCGGCGCGACGGACTCTAGGGACCCGCCACATATCCGTGAGGAGGTTGCGACCTTGGAGGGACTCGTTCTCGAGCTCGAGCAACTTGGCGATGTAGAACAAGTCGCGACTGGCCTGGAGATCGCAGAACCTGAGCCGACGCATCGAATGGTACGCATCCGCCACCCGGCCCTTCGACATGTACCATCGTGGTGACTCTGGCGCATAGTATATCATGCAACATACTATCACCGGCGCTACCACAGTCGAGCCTAACATTAACCTGTCCCGTCCATCCAGAATGATTTTTCCGAAGTATTGAGATGGGATCCTTGATAATCTTTTTGGATCAGATTAGGGTCGCGTTATTACTTACCTCCATGCTACATTTGGTTCCACATCCACAAAGATCACACTGACTACATCCCCAAGTGCGATTCCAAAAGCCTATAAAATTTGTGATTTTAGAAAAGAGTTAGGGGAGGAAGAAGAAGAGGAATAGAACTGATGATAAAGAAGAAACTGACGGTCCACTAAAGATGACCGATGAGAAAAGAAGGATTTCCGTAGGAGGAAGAGAGAGAGAAGTCAATCAGTCAGTTGTTGTTTGATATAATTGTCTAATAGGAGGACGGGCATACCATTTGCCATTGCATGACCAATGCGCCTCTGATTGGAGCGGGTGCGCATTCGGCTATTATGAAGAGGGAAGAAGAGGAGGATAAGAAAAGACGTAAAAGACAATACAGACAGCGGGGGGCGGAAACTGACCGGTGTAGATAGGTCCAGTAGCAGACTGAATTAGAAGCAGAGGAAGTAGTCAACAACTGAAGGAGAAGAAAATGATGAGAGTAAAGAAGAGGAGGGGAAGGCCGAACCTTAGGTCCGATCCCAAGTCCCAATGCAAGTCTAGAGACGAACAGCTGAGGCCAAGAGTAAGTGAAGGCCTCCCAGATCGAGGCGGCGCCGGCGATGAAGCAGGACCAGAAGATGACCCCTCGACGGCCGAGGAGTCGGTTGGCCGGGTCGGTGATCCAACAGGCAAACACGGCCTGTTTTTGAGTCAGGAATCGTTTATATTAGCATATGGTTCCCGGCCTTTGGGCTTTCATGTGGGCTCGACTTGAGGTGGAGCATGTTATAGAAGGGTTCGCACACAACATAGGTATGGTGCACTGTTGACGAGGCCTTGGATTATCGCCGTCTTCTTGGTCCCGTCGGTCGGGATCCCAAAGCGATCGTAGTAGAAGATTTGGGCCCCATTGACAACGGCCTTTTATTTTTCAACAGTCAACAGCCGTCAACAGTCTGAGTGACTGATTGTATAAGAATGATATACGCACTTCGTCCATCCCTTGAACGATCGCTGCCATCGATGAAAGAATAGCAATGAAGTACCTAGAAGAAGAATCGGAGGATGTATCTAAGCATATAAGGGATGATGATGCCTCGAAGCGGTGAGTGCGGATGAGGCGAAGAGACACACATCATCATCGGTTGTTTCCATCGTCGGGAACCCTCCCAGTCGATGAACTGACGCTCCTCCTCAGTGATCCCGGGGATCCGGTCCAAGTCTTGCGGGTTGGCTGCAAGGATGGCGCCTCGCTTGAAGTTTTCAACTGGATTCCCAATCCACGCCATCGTTCACATTTTCGGATCAATCACAGAAATCAGCTCTTTAATGTTCCATCCTCGTCTTGTTGCCTCTAAAAACAAAACAAAACAAAAAATGGGGGCGAGTTGTCTGATGATACACTATGTAGGGATGCGTATGTGATTATAAGCTAGATTGGTGGAGTGTGTATCTAATCCCGCTGTGAATCTATCAGTAATAATTGTGAGCCAATTAAAGTATTTATGTAGTCGGAGACGACTGCAGCCAATGTCTGCGCCCGATAAGATGCACGATATGTATGTACCACCCGGAGGAAAAGATAGTTTAAAGGTGTGATCAAGAGAGCTATACTGACGCTGGTCATTCAAGCCATTAGCCTGACAAAACTCCTCGGCCTGTTGGACGAGCTCGTGGCTGGAGAAGCCGGAGAGCGGGTTCTCGAGCTTGGCGGAGAGCTCGGCGATCCGTTGGAGCTCGGGGTCGAAGATCGGCGGCGCCGGCTTGACCGCCGGCTCCGAGGGATCGGTCGTGTGCAGGTCGCCCGATAACGAGTATTGTTTCTCGCCCTTCGTCGCTAGTTCGGCCATTCCTTCTCCTGTAACACTTGAATACCAAGGATTCTTCCTCCCTTTCTTTGATCACTGCCGTTTGATGATCGCGGGTGTGTGTGTCAGTGTGTGGGTGTACTGTGTATGGATGTATGCGTGTGGGGTTAAAGGCTGTTGTGGGGTGGTGGTTCCTGTGGTGGTTTCATGCAGCCGTCGATCTCATGCGTTAGTGTCTTTGTAATCTCCTTTTGCTAATTGGTCTGCTCTCTACTTGCTAATTGAGAGCGATACTAATTGTACTAGGATGTGGAGAGAGAGAGAGAAGAAGAAGAAGGGGGACTGACGATCGGAAACAGCTCTCGATTGCACACTCGATCGAGTACTTCCAATTCACTATCAGTGCTCTCAAGGTGAGATGGAGGTGAAGATCAGGAGAAGAATAACTTAATTGGGGTTTTTTACTATGGATGAGAAAAGAGGATATTTAATTATTTCTAGAGAATTATTTATTGATAACTGGGGGGAAATTGTGGAGAGGAGAATCAAAACAATATAAAGCGCGCTCAGATGGGGATTAATAATAATTGGGTGGGGAAGCGAGGGGGAAGTATATATGATAATGAAACTGTTGGAGGAGGAGGATTGAGAGTGAAGCACACAGACCCACAAGAGTCACTTACATATAATGCTGCGAGCGGTTGGAGGAGGAGGTGGAGGAGGGCAGTCACTCAGATCAGCAGCTCATGGCGGTGATGCGGGCAAGAGACTACTTGATCAAAAACTCTAATAAGCTGGAGTCCGGCACTCCCAAAAAGAAGCAATCCCATCAAACTTTGGAAACCATGCAACGCTCTTCCTCTCTCTCTTTCTCTCTCTCCCTCTTTTTTTGCCGGCTATGTTGTTATACAGTTACATAACCCTCCCCCCCAAAAAAACAAATCATGGATATGCACAACTAGACAAACCATGTCGATATTGTTGTGATGATCAGGATTTTTTTTTTGCGGTCGATCCAACAGGAGGGTCTCCGGCAAAAACAATTGCACAGTATTGCAACGATGTCTGTGCTAAACATCAATATGTTTGACGGACGGATGTCGGGAGTTGAGCGGAGGACGTTTTCCCTATTTTTTTTTTTTGGTGTGCAGAGCTCATTTTGATGGTCGTTCGACTAAACTTTAATAGTTTAGAGCACCCGTTCATGGTCTGCAGGGTCAGATAAAGCAGATTCTTTTGAGGTTTTGAGGCGAGTCTAGTGGTAATGGTCTTGATCAGCAAGGGTGTGTTATAAATGGCAGCATGGTTGCAGTCTGCGCCAGTCGTGCCGGTCTTCAGTTCCGAGCCGGTGAGATTACAACCAAGATCTCTTCATCTCTCCATGTCGATGCTTCGGAAAGGCCCTCCATCAAACGGTTAACACGTAAAAACGCGAAAAAAACAAGTGGATTGGCTTGTAGGATGGTCTTCTCGTGTCAGTTCGGACGACATGAACGTTGAGGAGGCCGATCATCTTCTCTGATGGATCCAAGTCACCCTCTCATCCGCGGAACAATAGTGCAAAGGCTGGCCCGATCGGCTCATGATCTCTGTGCAAGACACATCTTTTCGTCGCCAGTGGCTCATGATCATGCCGGATAAATGATCTCACCGATGGACTTGGATTCGTCAATCCGAAGAGTCGCCCTTCTTCTTCGGATGCCCTGCGCTCATGTAACCCCCCTAGTCATGAACTCCACACCCATCTCTGCCCGCGATTTTTACGGTGGAAAGCGGGATCTAGAAATGCTTATAGCTTTCAATCGCGACTTGGTTATCTTTTCATGTCATGATCAATCAGAATGTATGTATAAAAAAAACCAGTTTGAAAACTTGTGGAGTAGAAGAAAGAACGGACGAGAAGGATTAGCAGTTGATTGATTTTAAAACAAGTGTCATGAGCCACTGCGGAATCGAGATAACTCTGTTTGAATGATACCAACAAAGCTTTGTTGTTGTTTTTAGAAAGATAGGTCATCAGTGAGACCCACAGGAACTGTGAAGATCCTTAGCATTGTAAACGGCTGAATGACAAACCCACGGAGAACCACCTCCGGAGTTGAGCAAGGCTGATGATGCATGGTCCCAACATTCTCGAGTCGGCTCACTATTAGATCAAGGTTAGGGATGAACAGCAGAGCTGTGCCTGTTGCCACCACTAAAATTCAAATCGCTGCTGCGAAGTCAGCCAGCCCCTTTCAAAAGACATGGCTTGAATCCTGTGGAGTTTATTGTACACTCGTCGACAAATGGCCGACAATTTATCAATGCAGACTCCAGACCAACAATCCATATACATATAATACAACGATGTAAATAGGAGAGACTCAGACTTTATATATATGGCGCAGCATATAATCATCATATCTTGGCTGTAATCTTCAAGAGAACATGCTGTGGAAATGTTGATGGCCGTTGCGAACCGATCAAGACCATCGGCCTGATCGTCTTGATCTGACTATATATTAAGAGTCGAGACCGACGGGTTTCCCGATTTCAGTAAATGTAGCTTGAAATGCAAAGCTGGTGAAGGGTCGACTACATGTCAGCTACAATATCCCTACCCATTGATTATCCTACATGGGCATAAAGGATTAATTGTATGGGCCACAAAAAATATGGACCTGTATTTATAAATACATCAACATTAATAATCAATCATCTCCCCCAAAAAAGACGGGTTTTCTTGCTGCCCCTGAGGGCTATGGCTCTTTTATCTGGTTATAGGTATGCTGTCATTGTCTTGACCAGTGGCATGCTGCTATCAGTTGTATGGTTTTCATCCCCCCCCTCAGGTTGTTTTTTTGTAGGTTTTTTTTTCATGTGGTTTTTTGACATGGGTTTTTGTGGGTATTTCGTGTTTTTTTTTTTTTTTTTTTTTTGTGCTTTTTTGTGTTTTTTTGTGTTTTTTTGTGTTTTTTGTGTTTTTTTGTGTTTTTTTTGTGTTTTTTTTGTGTTTTTTTTTGTGTTTTTTTGTGTTTTTTGTGTGTTTTTTGTGTTTTTTTTTGTGTTTTTTTTTGTGTTTTTTTTTGTTTTTTTTGTGTTTTTTTTGTTTTTTTTTGTGTTTTTTTTTGTGCTTTTTTGTGTTTTTTTTGTGTTTTTTTGTGTTTTATTTTTGTGTTTTTGTTTGGAGGGAGGGGGTTTCTTGTATCACTTTGGTCTCAGATTTTGATCTCAAGTGGAATTGCTACCGAGTTAATCTGTCTGTGATTTTTTTGATATGAGCAGTAATCTGTTTTTTCCTCTCTTCCTCTTGGCGGATTGACTTTTCATCTTGTGCAGAGCTAGCAGAGGGATTCGACAGTTTGTAGTCGTAACAGAGCCGTTGTACCAACGCTGAGAGTCTCTGAGGATCTTGCAGGAGTGCTGGATCTTGAGATGCTTCTTGCATCACCTCTGTGGCCATTTCCTTTGGATCAAATGGTGCCCCAGCTGGGATGGCATTTGCAACTGCTATGCCCACATCAATACCATCTCTGAATCTCTCCTTCAATGGTTTCATGGCATGTACATACTAGAAGCCTAGTATTGTGAACAAGGTGACTGTGGTTAGAACTGCTTGCTTACAGGTCTTGGTCAAACAGATCATGGTGGTGACTTTGAGATGAAGTTTGTTTGAAGGTGATAGGTGTTCACAGGGGGAATCGAACTGCTTTCAATGTTCAATTCAAGTTGATGATAGTATGAAGGTTGAGCTCACACTACTGATTGGGAGAGTTCAGGAGACAAGGGAATTCCCTGAGAAGAGTATTAAATAGGTGCTATCTAGTGATTGGTTCCAAATTTGACCCATTAGTTTTGGTGTGTATCCCTCTGAGTGCTCTCCATACACAATCCATCATCTGCTTGCCTGCTTGCCCTCTGGATAATTAAGTCCCTACAACTAACTTGATCACCATTATCAGTTAGTATCAGCCAACTTGCTGATCAGCTATATGATGGATGGCTTCCCACCTCAATTTACAGCCCTTCCAGAAGTTAATTTACACCTCCTAAATCTTAATTTTTGGGTTTAAAAAATCATTTTTTCACAAGCCTTTTAAAAATCATTCTCATGTGAGCTGGTTGGAGGTATGATTGGGGTGTTAATTGAGGACTGAGAAGGGCTCAAAAATCACTCTAATTGGCAACAGGAAGTCCTCCAATATGACTCCTGTTGAGTTTTCACTTGCTCTGCCTACTCTTCCCCAAATCACTCCCTCATTTCCTCACTTCTTCTACCTATTTTCCTTCTTGAATCATCTTGTTCCGGACTGAATTATACTCAACCATAGCTGTTTTCTGCGTTGAATCTTCTGTTCTTGTGTAGTCTAATTAGAACTCATCAAGACAATTTTCTTCTAGCAACTCATGTCTTATTGTTGATTTCTTTCTTTTTCTGGTCATTATGTGATTCCTTAAAACTGATTGATAAGAATTAACGCCTCTTACTCATTTGTGGTTGTGTGCTTGTTTTTTCATGATTAATTTGCTAGCTTTTCTAAAAGAGACTGAGAAGAATTGTCCGGCTGTTTCTTCCATGAACTCATTCATTCCTTCCTCTCAGTTTTTATTCAAAATACTCTTTTATTCAATTTCTATCAAACCACATTTTTAACCTTTTGTATGTAGTCTATTTAAGACAGGCTAGCTACAAGAAATAAAACTCATTGGTTCTTTCATTCATTTTTCCGTGAGCCTTTCCCAAAAAAGACACTCCTCCTTTTTTGAGCCCTTTTCTCAAACTCCTCAAAAATTCTTCCTCTCTCGAGCTCAGAATTTCAACAACTCCCAAAAAATCTATCACACTACCCATCTGGTGCAAGGAGGCTTGGCTTTCCCTTCCCTTTATTTTTGAAGCTGAAGAATGTACCTGAACCAAATGTTTCTCAGAAATTATGTCAGAGACACATTGGGTGAGGCTAAGTTTACACTTTTGGCCATCCCAACATAACTTCTGGGGTCTCTTCTGCCAGCAGCCAGGAGTGTAAAAACTTATGACCAATGAGAGGGAGAAATTATCTTTGGGAAACAAAATGATTTTGTTGGAATGGCTCAATGGGTTGGAAAAGGAAGGAAAGAACCAAGGATGTTTTACTTAGAAGAGACTAGGGTTTAAGTAGTCTACCTACAAGAGGTTAAACATGTGGGTGAGAAAAAATTGAATATAGAAATAAATAACAAATTGGCATATGCATGAAAAGATGACAGAAGCAAATAGTTATTGATAAAGACTATAACCAGGTTCAAAGACTGCAGGGATTTTAGCACTAGACCACAAGACAAGGTGCCACTCAGACACCTAAAAAACATAATAAAATTGTGTCTATTATTTTGTATAAGCATGTTAATTGAAAGATGAGGCAGTTAGTTTTTTGGGAATGAGAATGTCAGCTCTGGTCTCTTATGTGACCTAGAGTTGATGGGTAATGGGTCACACTATAGCCAAAGAGTGGCCAGTGGAAAGTAAGCCCAACTCAACACTTGTACTGTGGAGGGGCTAGCTCCTTATAAAAATATAGGACAACTGTGGAATGAGCTTCACAGTGCCTGAGCTTAATTATTATAAGAGAAATAGAGTAGTACTAGTCTTATGAGTTAAATATGTAACTTATAAAGACTAGTAAAGAAGATAGAGGAAAGTGTAATCATTTAATGTCATAATAGACTACTGTAAAAACCCCACTCACTATTTATTATAAGCTAATGTCTAGTAAGGTACTTGGGTTTGTGTGGTAATAATGTCTAGGGGATGAATCTAAGAGAAAGAGTCATCCTCTTAAATATTACAGAGCAGGTGTCAAACTGCTTCTGGGACCGGTGCAGTCCCCTTATTGTTACACTAGTCCTTGGGGGAAAGTGTCAGGATATTCAGAACATGCTAAATGTACATGTGCTGAATCTGTTTTATTTCAGAAAATCACATAAGAGAGATAAAAAGAATGTATATTCACACAAGAGAGATAAACAGGATAATCATCTCTTGGATACACCCAAGAGATAATCATCCTTTTCAACTTGATTATTATTTTCATGGAACAGGTAAATTAATAGAGAGGCAAATCTTTATTAATTTACAGAATATTTATTAACATAAATAGTACATATAAAAATGAATAGCATTATTGTATACTTATCAACTTAAAGATTACATATGATAATATATATTGTGTAACCCCCTTTGTCTCAGTGTCTGACAGAGAAGAATAAAGGACATAATTTCAACATAGTGGCAATTACAATGATCCTCTTATTTCTCCAGCAATTTTCTCAGCTTCCATTAAGCCTTCCTATTTTTCATCAAAGGCTCTCAAATCACTGCCTTCTCCCAAGGTAAAAATGACAAGTTATAACCTAGTGTGATGGATATAAGGCCCCATTATTTGTGATTTGTTATATTGGGTTTCCCCCCGGGGGTGCCAATTGGACATCCCAAATTTGGTGTGACAATCAGGTTTTGGGGCCCCAATTTGTATCACGGGGTTTGCCCAAATAACAAATAATGGGGCAGCCAAACAGGGCCTAAGTATTTTTATATTCTGGATTCACAAGACATTCATCCTGAACATCCCTGTGGTGGTATTTGCAATTTATTTCACATTTTCTTTATTTTTAACCAGTTTTACCGCCCAAACCACTGGGAATAAAAATTTAAGGCCTGTACCATATCCAAGTACATATCATACTCTATAAGATGGCTCTGGCTGGGGTTTTTATCTCATGTGATGATGGTGAGAGAGTGCCAAGAAAAGAACATCCAGCTAAATTGAAGTTTGTGTATCAGCCAAATATGGACTACATTATGAAGCCCCTCCTTCACCTACTGCCATTTTAAAACAGGAAACCAGCTCCCACCAAGGAGGAATTTGATTAAGGCTTTGTTTGGCCGTCCAAAAACGTCATAGACCGTCATTGAAAATCGTCAAATCAGAATTTAGGTTTGATTCTTTCAGGCTGTGCAGATGACATAGCCTGAAAATCCATATCAATAATGATGTGGCTGTTTGGTGCACCTTGGGAGTGGATGATTGGAACAGAGGTTTAGGAGGACGGGGGGCATGGTGCCGGTCAGAGGGGGTGGTGTGCAGCTGGGGGGTGATATGGAGTTGTTGTAAGGGAAAGCCAAGGGTGATGAGAGCACCGAAGCGGCACTTATGACGCAAAATCTTGGATTTGGCAGAGAATATATCTCGTTGACCATTTCCGTCATAAGAGATTTGATATAACGTGGCCTCCCAAACACCATCGTGAGGCCCCGTCATTAGCTGTGCACCCCCAAAATATCTGCCATGATTGTTTATGACGATCATGGACGGCCAAACGAAGCCAAAATGGATTTTTTTTTTTGGAATTCATGGAAGAAATCAATTATGAGGGATTTATTGACAAGGATAGTTCAATGGTCTAGAAAGATAAGGAATGTGTCAGGATCAAGAATTCTTTTCTGAATCAAGCAAAGTGTTAATTATAATCAATAGAGGTTTTATCTGATTGGGATCTTATGTATTTTTGGCATGAGTTGCATCCCAAAGTAGGACCATCTGAAGCAGTCAGGGTTTCCGGCAGACCATACACAGTGGACCATCTTTCTTCCTCTCATTGGCCCACTTGAATGGCAGAGTAATATTGGAAAACTGTTTTCAGCTTGTCTGGGTATCCTCTAGCACTTTTCCACCATGACTTGAAGAAAGCGGCTTATGAGGTGACCATTGTAAATAGAATCAATCAGCCGAAATTCACTAAAACCCAGCCCGCTTAACATTGAAAGGTTGAGAAGCAACTAGCCGGATAACTTTGATGCATGGATGAAGCGTTTTTTTAGCATTCTTCGGGCCCATCAGCCTCGGGATGGTGCTTGAAGACTGGGACCATGTTGTGATGAGTCCATCGTTAAGCTAGAGCTTGTTGAAGGTTGGGACTCAAGCATGCTCTCATTATGGACTTGTGCTGGGATATCCCAAGTGCATAGATATATGTATGTGGTTACAAACTTACACTGTCATCCAGCTCGGCTGTCGATCAGACTTCGAATCAAACGGTCAACAAGAAACAACCAGTCATCCTGGTCTGCCATCTCCTTCGACTCTACATCTCTCTACAAAGCTGATGAACCTCTAGGCTAACACAACCAGAACATCTTCAAACAGCTGCTTATCCCGATCTCATTCCTAGGAATCCATTGTGTGCTGACACCCCGCGCTACTAGTCCCAAACCATGAGGCAAGTGATTCTTCATCTCCAGGTATCGCGAAGGGATCCTTTTTTTATCATCAAACTAACATACATTCTCAATCGGTTGATCAATTGATCTAAAACTATCACATTTTCTTCGGTTGGAATTGTAAAAAATCACAGTCGATTCGTTCGTCAAAGTTATTACCGCCATGTGTATGTAGCATCTAATTGTTTTCCTGATGACGTATCAATCCCCAATTCAGTCAAGAAAACAAAGTAAAAAAAACCTGATCGATTGATTTCCTTGAAAAATGTCTGTTGTAGTTACGGCCAGCCATCAAAGCGAGAGATGTGTTTTGATAACATCAAGGTTTCTGCTTCAGCTTGGGACACTAATTTGGCCGCTGCAAATCCAAAGTTTCTCTCTGTAAAGTCAGTCTGTTGCGTTGATCCCCCTATTCTCAGAGTGATTAACAAATTGATTGATTTCCTTTTCTCTCCTCAGCTATCAAGCCTCTGGTGGGGGTGCATTTCTTGTTGTACCTTTGACTCACACCGGAAAGCTACCCGACTTGTATCCACTCTGTCGAGCGCATACTGCACCTGTTCTCGACACTTCCTTTTCACCCTTCTCAGATACCCTGATTGCCTCATCAGGCGAGGATGGCAAGATCGTACTCACCCACATCGACGAGGACAGACTCACGGCTGCCCTCAGACTCGAGAAACCTGAAGTCAATGACCTCGAACCCGTACTCAGATTGAGTGGTCACGTCCGAAAAGCTGGTCATGTCAAGTGGCATCCCGTTGCTGAGAACGTCCTGGCCAGTACCAGTTTGGAAGTCAAGATTTGGGATGTTGAGAAAGCGGCTTGTGTTGTCGAACTTCCCCAGCAACCTGATATGGTCGGTAGCATGAGCTTCAACTGGACCGGTACCCTCCTAGCTACGTCAGTCACCCAGGATTTATTGGATCATCAAAGCCTCCCTTGTCCAACTCATGAAACTCAACCGATCTTTTTTTTCATTGTTGCAACTTCTAGGACCTGCAAAGATAAAAAGCTCCGGATTTATGATCTAAGATCCGGTGAATTAACCTCCATGGCCGATTCACACACAGGCATCAAAGGATCTCGAGTAGAGTGGATGGGACGTCTCGATAGAATCTGTACGACTGGTTTCAGCAAGTTCTCCGACCGTCAAGTGTTTGTTTGGAACTCGGGAGACATTTCGAAAGGGCCAATCAAACAGTTGACCATTGATACCAGCTCTGGTACTCTAATGCCCTTTTGGTCTGACAACGACATTTTGGTCTGTATATTGTCTCTTCCCTACATCGGCTTGAATCAAACTATAACTTGATATTTTTTCCTTCTCCTGTTCTCCTCCGCCAACAGTTCCTCGCCGGTAAAGGGGATGGTAACGTTCGTTACTACGAGTATGAAGCTGACGAACTGTAAGCTTCCGAACCTTTCAAAACCTTGGTATATTGCGTCAAAAAATTTGAGTCAAAGCTAATTTCACTGGTCCGAATTCTTCGGCAATCCGAATTTTTGATAGACACTACCTGTAAGCATCACCGACCTCATGCACATGACTGGGTGTTTAAGATGTACTTACTTTCAATCTGACTTGGGCAGCACTGAGTATAAATCAAGCGAGCCGCAACGAGGCATGTGCTGGCTTCCGCGACGAGCGTTGAACACTCAAGACTGTGAAATTGCTCGAGCTTACAAAGTGACAAACAATCTAGTGGAGCCCATATCTTTCATCGTTCCACGAAAGGTAGGAAGAGCGATTGTTAACGCTTCATTATCGCCGAACCTACTCTGACACGATTGCATACGATTTTGCGAACAGTCCGATTCGTTTCAAGCAGACATTTATCCGCCGGCCTTATCGGGGAAACCCGCGTTGAGTTCATCGGACTTCTTTGCCGGAAAGACGGCCGAGCCGATCCTTGTCAGTTTAGACAATCTATCCGAGACCGCCGCGCCGCCGATCAAGTCTTCACTTTATGCCAGTACGCCGGTTGTGCCGGGCTCGGGAGCCGTTTCGCCTGCTCTTCCTCCATCAGAACCACCCGCACCCCGCTCGACCAGTCGAGCTCCTTCACCCGTCTCCACCAAACACGACCCTTTGCCTAGCTCATCTCCCGCTATCGAGCAGCCCCCCGTCTCACACCAACCTCCTCCTTCTTCCGTCGTTGCCCCCTCGGTTGATGCTCACCCTGAACAAAGATCTTCTAGCAGTTCCGCTGATGTCGATCAACTAACCAAGGAAAACCAAGAGTTGAAAGACGAATTGGCGGAGAAAGATTGTGTGATTAGAAATCTAGAACTACAGTTGAGTGTCCTTTTTTCTTTTTTTGTCAGGAGGGGAGTTTTGCGCAACGTTTTTATACATGGCAAACAGATCCACTGACTGCACATTTGGATCCCCCCTTCAATCGATATTTCCTATCTCGATATACCTCTTAATAAATGAACATTGACGCTACAATCCTCCCACTGTTACCCAAACCCTACCCACACCATTCCTGACATTAATACCTAACACCTTCCTACCATTTGACAATTCCAACAGATTAGAGAAGTTCAAAACTAATCAAATGAAGATAATTGAATTGAGTAAAAATTCTCTCAATTGATTCAAACTCGAACAGTCCAAATTAATAGGAAGTGCAAGAAAAAAAAAAAAAAAACAACTGGGTTGAATGAAACTACCCTTTGGTTCTTTTATAATACACTCACATCAATGGCTACTAATTCATACGTAATCTTGCTTTGATCAAAATCCGATGATCACTGGATTTGGTTCTTCTGGGTTTGTCTAATCTGGATATTGTCAACATTGATGATCATGTTTATGGTCTTTTTCTATCAAACATCCTGCTCCTCAAATCCAAATCCAAATCCAAATCAATCAATCATATCTCTACATTCCAGTTTTGTTTTTTTGTCTTTGCTTTCAACTGTCCTTGTACCATCCATTTTTTTTCCTTCTCATTATTAAATTATTTTCTCCCCCCCTCAAAAAAATGAACTACATAAAACCTTTTTTTGTTGTTATTGTTATGTTCAAAATTCCAGACAATGTTTTGTTTTGTTGTTTTTCCTGCTTCTTTATCTCTGATTTGTTCCAAGAAGAATGAAGCCAAGCCCCCAAACAAAAGTAGAAAGTGTAAAAAAACATTCAAAAAGCTTCTTACAGGATGAATCATGATCATTGCTTTTCATACAAAACTGAGCATGTTCTTTGTGGGATTGATCTGGCCATCAAAGAAAGCTGAACTCAAGCCCCCAAACAAAAGTAGAAAGTGTAAAAAAATATTCAAAAAGCTTCTTACAAGATGGATCATGATCATAGCTTTGCATGCAAAACTGAGCATGTTCTTTGTGGGATTGATCCGGCCATCAAGCTAGTACCACCAAAAAAAATGTGGAACTTTTATAGAGGTGGTTTCCATGTATTCCTGACTCATCTCAGCTCTATCGGTATCCTACATGTATCCTTGGTGTGCACCTTATGTTATGTACAGTGGGTATAGAGAGTGAAAAGTGGCTGCTTATTTTGGATTTCAGAGCTCCAAAACACAAACTTGAAGTCATCAGACTTGGTCAGCTGGTGCATAATAGGTCCCAAAAAATCAAAGAATCAGAGCCTGCAGGAAAGTTTCCACATGGATGTGGGAAGTGTGGAATTGGTACTGAGCTGTATAGACAGCCCCCAAAGAGGACCATCCAAATGGGGAAGTGGGATTGGGTTGGTCATGTTTCATCAGTGGGCTTGTGTTGGACACTTATAATATGATAATTAGAAAAATGTAGTGTAATAAGGGCCTTAATAAAAAACACAGTTTTTCTGCATTTTGACGTGGTTTCTGCTGCGCATAGCACACACAGATTCCGCGTTTAGACACGGTTTGATGAATTATGCATGCAATATGTGTTGGAGTATAATTTCATTTCTCTCCTGTATGTCATGAGTTTGCTACATACCTTTCACTTACATGTCACACATGATGTTGTACACCTAGGCCAGAAGTGAGTACGCGGAAGGACTCTTTTCCTCATCCTTTCCACCACCTCACTTTCTGACCTAGGTAAGTCCCTTTTCATCCTTTTCCTTTTGTTCTGTCTCAAGTATGATTATCATCTGCAATGCTAATCATCCTTTCCACCACCTCACTTTCTGACCTAGTTCACCTTATCAGGTTATGAGCACCATTGCTTGCGCTGTAACTCGCTAGAAACAAGAAAGTGAAACCAAGAGTATCCGTAGGCTTGTCAATAAAGCCCTGTGTGTATGGACACACCACCATCACCTTTCATCAAGCCTGAATACATCATTTCTACAACCCCAAGCTCGTCACCTCCCCCAACGTTATCGGATCTCATTTCCGACTCGCTTATATTGAAATCACTCGCTTTGGGTTCAAAACACCTCACTCCCAACACTACATCTACAAACTCAGACTCCAAAATCTTTGCTACCAAATTAAAATCACATACCATGTCGACTGCAACGGACTCTGAAGTATCCGGTCACCTGACCCTAAAACTAACAGGTGTTGAGCAACTATAACCACCAGGATCTGACTCCAATTACCTTGACTGGAGTTGGATCCTCGAGATTCATTTCGCGGCTACCGACATTGACTACATCATCACCGACAAGCCTGAGGTAGCAAAAGCTAAAGGAACCTTTGCCCGCAACAATAAGGCCGTCTGCGGCATCATTTTGCGCACCATCCACCCAGTCAATATTCGAAATGTCTGACATCTCAAAAATGATGCGCAAGGCCTCTGGGACTCGCTCAAGAAAGCACACCAGGACTCCTCCACTGGAGGAGTCATGTACTGGTTATGCAAGCTGACCTTGTCACGTATGGTCGATAACAACCTCCTCACACATCTAGAAAACATGGCCAAGATGTTCTAACGAATCAGTGCTCTCATCACCGCTGAGTCGCCCTTAACTCCCAACAACATCTACTCCACCTCGATCTTAACATCCCTTCATCAGGACTGGCTCTCATGTGTTTCTTCCATGATGAACAAGCCCTGCGTCAACCCGGCCAGACTCATAGATGCCCTCAAGGCTGAAGACCTACGCCGCAAAACCCAATCGGTGTGGAACTCCTATCGTGCCAGGCGGTAGGCAGTTGGTTGAAGGGAAAGTGCTTTGAGGGCTGCCTTCAAGTGGGGTCTGGATGAGTGAGCTGTGATCTGAACAAAAAGCGTTGGGGTTGGCTGGTTTTCTGAGAGGAGACAACAGAATTCAATTTCTGTGGCGGTTGTTGAGGTTGAGGATATGTGAAGGTGAGTATGAGGATCAGATGAATCAATAATAAAAAGATCAATAAGAAATGATGGGTCTATCTTGGATCAGATCAGAGTGCCATGCTTCCCCATCATCTCAGTTCAAACTGAACTTTGACTCTGGGGAGTGACATGTCACAGACATGTCATCACATCCCTAACTACAACACAACTCAACCAAAAAACAAAAACAAGACCACACTACACAACACTACACAACACAACACACACAACACAACACACACAACACAACACAGAACAGAACAGAACAAAACAGAACAAAACAAAACAAAACAAAATAATCAAGAGTGAAATAAACCAACATCCTGAGATGTCTTAGGACCAAGAAAATTAAACAAGACTGTCTACTGAGTAGGTGATTTGAAAAAGATAAGTAAGAATAATAAAATGATGAAAAATAAAATCAAGATGAATGAAAAATAATATGAAGATAAAATAATCAGAGGAAGTAGAATAAAATAATGAAATGAGAAAACCATTGGACTGAGTGGGGATTTGAGGTGATAATATTGAAATCTTGAGTCTTGAGGATATTGAAGAGTTGAAAGTTGAAATTTGAAATTCGAGCTTGAGGAGGCCTGTACCGTTTAGAACACCACATTGGACAATGCCGCAGATCCAGAGTCGACCGCGTCTGCCAAATCCGGTCATCAACAAAAGGGACAACCCCGTCAGCCCGGTCAACCTGTCCGCCACTGCACATTTTGCAATATGGACAGACACGATCTGAACCGATGCGGCCATGTTTCTTGATTGATCAACTCCCACAAGTCTTCCCAAACCACATCAAATCCCAGTAACTCTTCCAACCGTCCTCATAATAAGGGCCGCAAACAAATCAAAACCATAGCAAAAGCCAGGGGGTACCGATAACAAAGATGATGATTTTTTGGGGTCCGAAGTCAAAGTAACGGCTGGTCATGCCGCGGTATCTTTATCCTCAACCATAGCCTCAATCCCATCAGGTTTTGAGATGCTTATACTGAGTGTATGCTTCTAACTAGTTGTATATAGCTCAGCATATCTCTCATCAGATTTCCTTTACTCACCGAATCTAAATATTATTTTATCTTAGTGATTGCTCCAGTATCACAAGGTCCGTGAACCTTCAGTCCTGTCACCTGTTTCCTACGCAACATCAGGGGATGCGAATCTTGACTCGGGGTGCTTGGTATCAATGACACCCGATCAGTCAGCGGTCTCCCTTTTAAAAAAAACCAAACCCCTGTCCGACTTGCCGATCACTCCCTTGTTGAGTCAACTCACAAGGGAGTGTCAAAGCTTCCCATCAATGTCAACAGGTCAATTCCGACTTTAGTTGTGCCGGCTCTTGCGGAACCCCTCCTGTCCATTGCAGGGTTAACAGCTGTATTCACTCCCAACTTGTGCGACATCTATGACACCCCAAATTTCAATCCCACCGGCGATGTCGTGGGCAGGGGCTATCGACGCGGAAACCTCTACTACCTACCTTCGGAGCCTGTGAGCTCCCCAATTTCTTCCATCCCCTCATCCCCTCATCCCATTGCCAAATTGGCCACTATTGACAACAGTCTACTTGTGTATCACTACTGCCTGTCCCACATAGGACTCAACCCCCTGAAACGGCTTCTCAAGATTCACAGAATCACTCCCACAATATCAAATGAGGATGAAGTTCAACAATGTCCGATCTGCATCCAATCAAAACTTCACCAAACACCCTTCAAATCTCAAAACTCATACCGATCCATGATTCCAGGAGAAGTGATTCACTCTGATGTTGGGTCATATGAGGTAACACCTCGAGAAGGATACAAGTATTTCATCTCTTTTATTAACGACTGTTCCAAAGCTGTTTTTCTCTATCCTATGAAATCAAAATCAGAATCTTTTGCCTGCTTCAAAATCTTCCGCGCCACTTTTGAGAAAATCAACCATCATGTGATTAAGTCTCTGAGAACCAACAATGGAGGTGAGTATATCTCAAAGGATTTTGAAAAATATCTGGAAAATGCAGGGATCAGACACAAACCAGGCCCACCACACTCTCCTCAACTCAACGGTGTGGCAGAGCGAACAAACCACACAATCAGTAATCTGGTGCGCTCGTCTTTGATCAGTGCCCATCTCCCAAAATCCTTCTAGACCGATGCCCTTTGACATGCTTTTCACGTTCACAATCATATCCCCTGCAACACTCCACTAGGCTTCAAGACTCCCAAATCCATTCTTGGCATACCTCCCATAAACATCAACTCTCTTCATCCGTTTGGCTGCCTCACCTACTACAAAGTCCCGGAAGAAAACAACAAGAAGCTGGATCAGCGGGGGCGGGCCTCCATTCTCTTGTCATACCTCTCTGATGGAAACGGTTACCGAGTCTGGGACCTGGAAAAGCGGACTGTCATCAAGTCTGGTGATGTCACCTTCATTGACACAAAATTTCCTTACGGCTCACCACTCTCAAAACCATCAGACCCCATCATAGTTGAACTACCCTGGCCTGTCTCCAACAACAACAAAATCACACGCTTACACTCTCCCGCGACAAAAACACCTTCTGAATAATCTCCAACGACAAAGACACCATTACCTCCCTCACCTTCAATCAGTGACCTCCTGCCACTTGACATCCCCCTAGAACCACGCTTTGATCGCCGGCTAACTGCTTTGATTCATGCTCCAGGCAACACCCCTCGTGAAAAGTCACCAATACAGTTGTCATCTGACTCCCCATCCACCCAGACAAACAGCAACTCAAACCCCTCCTCTACCGCCGACTTGGTACCCATAACTCTTCCGCCACTCCCACCGTCTCCACAGGTGACTCAACCTTCCCAGCCACCCTCTGATGTTGACTCAGCACCAAGTATCCCAGTCCAAACC